GATTGCATCGACTCATTGACTCTTCAGCAATCCCTCACACTAAGCATGCTTGTAGCGACAGTGGAGAGGAAAAACTCCCTTTGAACAGGAAGAAACCTCCAGCAGAACCAGGCTCAGTGTGAGCGGCCATCTGCTGAGGCCCACTGGGGTTCAAGGAGACAGAAGCAGACAGAAAAAGAAGCATAGATACAAAAGGCAACTGTCAACCAGCTCCACAGGCAGCCCCGTCCAGGAAACACACAGCCAGGCAGACGAGCTCCGAGCCAGCTCCCATGTCAGAGGATGAAGAGAGCACATCCAGTTAGTCACAGTCAGAGAAACAGGACTACACTGGAAAACAGGCCAAGCTCCAACATCTATAAACAAAGGTGTTGATGGCAGCAGCACAGCTGATATTTCTCTCCAGGATGGAGTCACAGCCAAACAGGAACAGACCAGATGAAGCTACCATGAGAAAAAGCAGAGAGAGCAGAACGTTAGAGATTGAACTAACAGATTCGGCAGAGTGGGAGAATAGAGATAGAATGGGCTCTCCTCATCCTCCACAGAAAGTCCAAGCGCTTCCGGGCCCTTAGGACCAGTGAGGTGGTGTTTCCAGTCCAGGTGAGGGTGTCTGTGATGAATGTGGTGCTGCTAACCACCTCTACAGCTGAGCTGTTGATGAGCAGTGGAGCGTGGTTAGGCCGGTTCCTCCTGAAGTCCTCCATGATCTCCTTGGTCTTCTCCACCTTCAGGATGAGGCTGTTATCTCTGCACCACCAGCTGCTCCACCTCCTCTCTGTAGTCCAGGTCGTTGTCGTCTCTGATGAGGCCCACCACCGTGGCGTCGTCTGCAAACTTCACCATGTGATTGGTGGTGAACCTGGGGACGCAGTCGTGTGTCATCAGGGTGAACAGCAGGGGGCTCAGGACGCAGCCCTGAGGGGAGGGGCTTAGACTGATGACATCAGCGGTGTTCTGTCCGACCCGGACTGACTGAGGTCTGTTGGTGAGGAAGTCTAGCAGCCAATAGCAGAGGGGTGTAATGAAACCCAGCTGTTCCAGTTTGCCCATCAGATGCTGTGGGATGATGGCGCTGAAAGCTGAACTGAAGTCCAGGAACAGCATCCGCATGTGGGTTATGCTAAAGACCCAACTGTTTAAACTAGAAAAAGCTGTTTCGGAGAAACATCAAAGTGGGAATGCTTTTGCTGAATGAAAAAAGCTGAAATTAACTGCATAACATATGAAAATGTGATAGGAAGTCATCAGAAACTTCAAACTGCAGAAAACAATTGAATCATCTGAAGATTTTGTAGGGTAGAATCATTTGGCAGTAAAATGGCAGAAACAAACTCATCTTAAAAGCTGCACAGCCAAACCATACATAATATCAAAAAATTTCTTTAATGTGGGCACTAGAAGGGTCTTGATATAATGTCTCCCAAGTTTCTATAAACATTTCTAAAGAAATTTTGAAGGGGGGCCACCTACTGCCATTAAACATGTCAAGTGTGTTATGAATTAGCAGCAAACAGAAAAGCTTAATTTCTGTCCAGAAAGAGAGAAGAATCAAGCCAAAGTTCTCAGCATAGGTTGAAAAGTATTAAATTAGCTGAATCAGAAAAGAAATTACAAAGAAAAACTTGAATCTTATCTGGTTGAAGAAAAAATTAGTAGCTCAAGGATGGGAAATAAAATGTTGAGGAAGATGGTATTGAATAAGTATCAAAATTTAGAAATTGTCAAAATGTCAAGACTTGGCAAAACAATTTGAAATGATTTAAAATGTGTCGGTTGATCAGCATAAAGAAAACAGTGTCATGCTTAGAGGATTTAAAATCCACAAACCTATGTGCAAGACTGACCATGTAAAACAGAGGAAGGACAGAGAGAGAAGCTTATAGAAAGAGATAATACCACTTAAGGAGCTGAATTTATCAAAAAAAACAACTAACCTGCATGTTACGAGCCGCTGTCGGGATGAAAGCACTGTTGGCAGGCTTAGGCTGCATGTTACGAGGTTAGCAGATGCTTTGTTAGAGTGTAAATCTTAGAGCCTTATTAAGAAATGAGCACTGAGGTGTGTGGTCAACAGGCCTTGGTAGTGTAATTTGAAGAAATTGGTTGACTTTGGGTCATAGCTAAGAGCCATACGGCACAATGAATGAGTGTTAATAAGGAAGAGGCCTTTATTTTGTAGGGTCCCTGTAGTCTTATTTCAAAAGTCTATCAAGAATGTGTGTCAAGGGAGGGGTCATGCCCAGCAGTGATATGGAATCCATTTCTAAATGTGAAATCACTGGTTTTCCATATTATTGGGTAAATAGATGCTGTATTAGAGCATAAATGGGAGACTTTTATTGTGAAATTCCCTCCAGGGTAATCATTAAATCACTCTTTTCCCCTGTTATTAGGGCAGTAGATGAAGTGGCAATGGGAGGCTTTTATTTTGAAATTTGCTGTGGGGTGTGTTTTGAAAACCCCCCTAGAGTCTAATTTTTAAAAAGTGGTTGAGTTTGGGTCATAATGTTGAGCCATATGCTGGGAAAAAATATGAGTTTTATGTAGGGGCTTTTATTTTGTAGGGTCCCCAGAGTCTTATTTTGAAAGTCTATCAGGGTTGTGTGTCAAGGTAAGGGTCATGGCCAGTAGTCATATTGTATCCATTTCCAAATGTTAAATCAGTGTTGTCTCCCTCCATTAGATTAAAATGTGCTGTTTAAAGTGGCAGAGGCAAAATCCCTTTGAAGCTCGGTTACCTTGACAACGCTTAATGAGCCTGTCAGTGACAGAGAGAAAAGCGCTTCACTTTCGTTCCTTTCGTCTCAGGCTTTTTTGAATGCGAAAATCAGCTCCGAACAAGCGAGTGCTGAAGACAAACCGTAAATGTTATCTAAAAAATTCTTTCAGTCTAAGCGACAGCTATCCTTTGTCTCCGATTGGGGTAAAGTTCATGGCTGCAGCTGATTCACAACCTTAATGGGAAGGAGAAATAAAAAGGTTTGTCACTCCTGCTGGTCTGATTGAATAACATGCAGCTCCATGGTAGAGCTTAGCTGTCAAAAGCAAAACTTCCCCTCCGAACAAACGAGTGGTGAGCCAAAACCGTAAAAGGTATTCTAAAAATTCTTTCACCGTGGACGTCAGCCATCCTTCTTCTTCGACTGTGCCAACTTTCATGTTTCTACTAAAAACTTTTTGGCCACGGTGACAATGTAAAAATGTGCATTTTCTGAGTTTGAGTATTTTTCTCAAAATCAGCGTTTTCCTATGCCCGAACAAGTCAGTTAAACAGCTAAACCATAAATGATATTGAAGAAATTCCTTCAATGTGAGTGCTAGAAGATTCTGAAGATGTTGTATCCCAAGTTTCATGTTAATACATAAAATAGTTAATAAATGGGAGCGATACGAAAATATGTATCGTTTTGGATTTTGTCTGTGATTTTTGGAAAATCTCTCATTGGATTTGTATTGGGGAAGTGTGGACTTCTTCATGGTCTGGGCCAAACTGTTGGAAAACCGTAAAAGCCACAAAAATGAGGGTTACATTTTCTGAATCCTGACAAAAATCCCTACGTTTTGATGTATAATTTATTTCAATTGAGTGAAAAATGAGGGAGTGAGAAGAATTTGTTCGGAAAAACCAGAACAGCTCAAAAGCTAGAGCACGCACACTAGCAGTTGAAGAATTCTGTCCATAGACTTCCATTATAAATCTGAAAATCTTTAAAATTTCTTTTAAAGTTTGAAGCTTCACTGAAGCAAAACTGTAAAAGTTAGCAAAAAGCTGAGATAAATAGTGATAGCAGAAAGATACGGAAACATTTTAAAAGTTGAATGGTGTTTCTAGCTGAAAGTATGCTGAAGTAGTTAAAGGGCAAAGATGATGAAGTTTTAGCTGAATCTTGCTGAAATCTAAGAATTCTACATGCATTTCAATGGGACAAAAAAAACGCAGAAAAAGCTGAATATCGCGAAAAATACAAAAAATATCTTTACCAAAAGACATAGCATAATTCTCCTGAATAAGCTGAACGTTTTGATACCAAAATTGTTGAAATCGGTGGAAAACTGCGGGACTAGTTAAAGTCAGAAAAATTTAAAGTGAACAACAATAAGTGGGAATGCATAAGCATTCCCACTTGAATATGGAAAGAGTTTCATAGTATCATAGACTGTAATAAGTGTTATAAAGTAATGAAGCAATTTGAACTAAAACCATCATAAATAATGTTTAGCAGGGTCCTAATTTCACTTATTTTATAGTTCTGGGTGAAAACTGAGGCATTTTGAGCTCAGGAGACATTTAATAGAACATTAACCTAAACTGAGTGTTTTGATTAAATATCTCTATCAATGACTGAAAAAAAAGAATTACAAAAGACATTTGTATTTTCTATTTAAAAACAAGAGGAGTGATTATAATTATTTTAAAATAAAAAAAAAGTTTAATTATCAGAAATTATTTTATATTGAATTGACATAAACTGAGTTTTAACAGGGTTAGGGTTAGGGTCAAATATCAAATTTTCCTCCTGGAGAGAAATCCAGTGAAAGTTCTGTTTTTTTCAGTAATAAAAAAAAAATTCTTAACAGGTTGCAGATATATTTTGATGCAAATAAGGATACAACTTCAGTTTATCCTGATATTATAAAAAAAAGACTCATTTGACTGATAGAAGGAACTTTAACACACTTTAAGCAACATATAGAACTCCAACAAAAAGGTTGAACATCAGTTATTTCATGTAGAACTTTCCTCCAGTTTTCTCTGAGCAGATCTTAAGTTGATACATCAGAAAGAAAGGTAGAGACTCTCTAACTTTGTGCTCCATCTCACCAGAAGTCTGACGTTTTTACCCACATTGCTGCAGAGACATAGATATCTAACCAACCTGCAGTCTGTCTGATTTCAGAGCTGCCTCCTTTAGAGCAAGATGATCCTGCTGCTGGTTCTGCTTTGCTCCATCTGGGGAGAACCTGCTCTGGCTCTGGAGGAGAACAAAGCTTTCAGTTTAGGAGGAGACCTCCAGCAGCTCTCAGTGAGCCACGACTCTGTTTACATCTCTACAGAGAAGAAGCTTTACCAGCTGAGCCACGACCTGACTGTGATCCACAGCCTGAACCAGAGAGGGATCCTAAAGAACCCGGGTCAACTGAGCAAAGAGGAGTTTCATCGGGTCTCAATGAATGCTCCCTGGAATGCAACTTTCACCATAAATGCTTTATTACCTTTAGTGAACAATGGGACATTGATCGTCTGCGGTGGGACAGACAAAGCCTGTGGTTACTGTGAGGTTCTGGACCTGAGGGACATCTCTAAGCTGGTGTTCAGAGAACACATCCAGGTGGGACCTCTGAGGGACAGCAGAGGTTCTGTCAGCTTTCTGGTGGACGTGAAGAAGGATTCAGGTCAGACTGAGACGTACATCCTGACCGCCATCCAGAATCACAGAGAGAAGCCAGAGGAAAGCAGGTGTCCATCTGAATTAAAGACAATCAACCTTCTAAACACAGATCAGAAACAGTCTGGGGGGATATTTGCTTCGTCTGAAGAAGGAGAAACACCTGGAATCCAAACTGAAGCTGATGTAGATTTTGTGGATGGATTTCAGATCAACTCAACAGTGTTTCTGTTCTCCAACGTGGCATCAGGAGCTAAAACCAACAAAGTCCGTCTGATTTGGCTTCAGGCTGAAACCAGTAAAGCTCAGACTCTAAAGTCTCTTGGTGGAGCGACTCTCAGTAGCTCTGACGGAGGTGAAGGCAGCAGACTGCTGGCCTCCTCGCTCATCCCAGGAGGACAGCAGGTCCTTTGGAGCGGAGTGTTCAGTTTGGATGGAGGAGAGACCAACACTGAGCTGCTGCTGTTTGACATCAGTCCTGATCAGAGCAGGACAACAGGCACCGATCCAGACTTCTATTACTCATCAAACAAGCCTAACAAGCCGGTAGGTCGCTGGATTTAACTAAACCACCTGATAATGTTTAGTAGTCTGTAGACCAGCCGCCGCTGCTCTAGTCTCTAGAGGTACCATCTCTGGTCCATACAGAGATTGATGTTTATTTCTAGGAACAATCCTGTTTGGTAAAGTTTCATTTTTTTGTAGCCTGATAGTTTAACTCCTTCTGGCCAGTAAGTGACGCGTCTTTCTCACCTTCCCTCCTTCTGTACTCTTTACCAGCTAGATGTTAGATCTGCTAATATAACAATAATTTCACTTATCAATTGAGAAGAAAAGCAGTAAACTCTGCCTGGCTTCTGAGCCGCTTTGCTTCCTTAAGTTGGACCAACGATCCAAGGCGTGACCAATGTTCACCCTCATTTCACTTCTACTTTAGTATCATTACAAGAAGTAGATATTTAGATATTTAGAATCAATTAAATATGTAAAATCAATCTGAGTGGATGATCTGATGAACTGTAAAGTGACCTGAGATGACATGATGTGAATTGGTGCCATAGAAATAAACTGAATTGAAATTATTTTAAATTATTTTTGTTGTGCAAAATAATAATAATAATAATAATAATAATAATCCTGCAGATAATGAATAAATGATTAACTAGAACTGGAGTTATAGTTAATTATTTAACCTATTCAAAATCGGAGGTGAAATCAATTTACTGTTCCTAGTTGAATAATGGTAGCTTTAATTTACTTACTTACCAGGGATTTTGGTTTTACCTCTGGAGGGTTCCTGGACCGGCTGTTAAAATCCAGGTATCCACACCAATCTAGTGACTCAGGCTAAGTTATCAACAGAGCTATTAATTATCAAATATAGATATGTGCGTGTGTATCTATATAGGTGTAGAACACTGTTAAACAACTCGTGCACACAAAATGGATAATGCAGTGTTGGAAAAACCTGGCAGAAGTGGTAAAATTTGGGAGCAGCTGCATAATTAAACCTGAGTTTTTTTTTTTATATACCAACAGTTTTAAATTTTACCAATCTCCAATTGTTAAAACACTGTTTGTCCACAGCACAGAAAGAAACAGTGAAACAGCATAAATGAAAGAAAAAAAAAAACAAGTCACTCCTTCTCTACACCATTCAGCTGCAGTTTTAGAAGCCACCGCCAGGGGGAGACAAGGTGCCCTCGCCTGGGAATTTTCAAATCGTGGTTGCAACAGATGGCGCCAAAGAGAGCACTAAAAAAATGTGGGTCTCAAAACACTGGAATCAGCTGAGTAGTTGTAATTACACAAACTACCACTAGGGGGAGATGACAATCTCTTTCGATGTGGCCTACACTGACCCAGTTGCTGTTACTTTAAGAACCTTTGTGATGCACCAATCCACAATTTGATCTCACGGCTTCAGAGTAGCAGCAAGACACAAACAACGCAGCTGAAGTCCCAAATCACCAATTCTCTATTGGATTATAGGTCTGAGATTTAATTAACTGGCTGTTAAATCTTCTCAAACCCGCTAGACTCAATAGTTGCAACACCGCAAACACACCCGGTCTATTTTCAGCAGGAGTAGCGTTTTTAGCTATTTAACTAAAAGCAGTCTGGATGATTTGGTAATCATGCAACGAATGTTTCAGCCTCAGGCCCACCCAGGGACGCCAATATGTTGTGCAAAATAATATCCTGCTGATAATGAATAAATGATTAACTAGAACTGGAGTTATAGTTAATTATTTAACCTATTCAAAATCGGAGGTGAAATCAATTTAGTGTTCTTAGTTGAATAATGGTAGCTTCAATTTACTTACTTACCAGGGATTGTGGTTTCACCTCTGGATGGTTCCTGGACTGGCTGTTAAAATCCAAGTATCCACAACAATCTAGTGACCCAGGCTAAGTTATCAGCAGAGCTATTAATTATCAATAAAGAATCTTTTATCTCTGTTTATTCGCACTATTACCAAAAAGGGGGTTGGATCTGACCTGAGTGATAAATCGTCTGCTATATGAAACACAGAAATACTACAAGTTAAACAATGATGTCTTTATTCTAATAATTCAGGATTACAGAAAATCTAACATCTATGCTAACACTACACGCTATTAGAAAAATAAACATGAGGTAGATTAAATGAATAGTTTAAAGAAATCAAAATAAAAGAATAAAAAAAAGAATAAAACCCTAAGAGTCCGTTCAACTGGCTTCTGAGATTGTCCAAAATATGCCAGATGTTATTACATTCACGAATGTCCATTGGAATAGCAGGAGGTATGATAACAGTGCAATTTGTTATGATGTTACAAAGTTCAGACCCAAATGCAGAATACCGAACAGAGAGAACAGGGAGAAGGTTTAACGGGTTTTGTTGAAGAAGTTTAGCAGAGGGAGAAGTGTTGCTCTGAACACTGCTCAACCGGACGTGTAAAGTGAGGGGAAGACTCAGCGGTTAGTTCAGGCTAAGTGGGGAATTTGACTCGTGAACTTGGGGAAGAGGATTTGGTTGCCGACTCGCGTTTCCAGAGAAGTTGTTGAATCCTTGAATCCTGGTGAAAAGTTGGTCAACGGAGAAACAGACTGCCACTCAGTTTTCCTGCGGTACTTGAACGGGTCGTAGTGTAGAAATCCCTTTCTCAGTGTGAAGCTCAAATGATCTCTTGGGGAAAGTGGATCCAAACCTCCTGTTTGAATCCCCGCTCAGTTTGAAGCTCAGTGGATCCTTCCAGGTAGTGAAGGTCCGAGAAATACAGTTTGCAGGAAGACTTCCTGCCGAGAGGCAAAGACAAAAACAAAGTTAAACAAAGTTGACAAAAAGCTCAGCTTGACTAAGAAAAAAACTCAGCTTGGCTAGCGTACCTTAAACTGGCAAACACTCTGGCTTCAAAGTAGTGGCAGTCAGCAGCTTAAGAACACTCAGTTTAACGAGGAAACAATCAGCAGGTGTGTGAGGAGGCGGACCAGAACCATGCGCCTCCTGGTGGATGAAGGGAGACAAACACAGAAAGTCCTGACAAAATTAATCAACATAAAATTAATATATTCTGCTTAAAAATGGTAAATGGTTAAAAATGCATTAAACAGCAGCAGAAGTCGTTTAGCAAAACGGCATCAACAAGGGGGTGTTTGTGTGTGGGAAAGGCATGTAATTGTATGAGAGGCCTCCCTCTTCATGTGTTAAAAGAGGAGGGGGGGGGGAGACGGCGGTAACCATGTGACCACACGCGATTGAATGTGATAACTCTACAACTACCTTAGAGCAGGAACAAATGAAGAGGATAGGAAAGAGAAGAAGAAAGAAATATCACTTGCAGCTTTCACAGCACACTTATTTCAACCAATGAACCAGAACTCTCATAACCAACACAGATTAAAATCAGCATTAATTCAAATCCCTGAATCTACCCGTCTCTCTCGCTGAGCGCAGCACCTCATTAATGCATCAAAAGAAAAGGAAAATTATTAACTGAGTTGCCTTCGGTCCGTGAAAGAGCCGGGGGGGGTTCCGAGGGAGCACGTGGTCTGGCTCCGGCTGGCTCACGTAAAAAGGAGCCTCTTCTAACAGGTCGTGAAACCATGGAAAGAGAAAGATTTAGTCCGCGCTCTGGGTTTTAACCATGAGCGACATGAGGGCACTTCCATTTGAAGTATCAGCTTCATCATCAGCTGATACTGATACTGGTCCGTGCTTGAAATGACCGCCTCTTACAATGGACAGATACAGTACTTTTCCAGAGAATCTTTGTTCTCTTTGTGAAAAAGGAAAGGGGGATGATTTTAGATGGTTCATCCAACTGATTTGGGCTCCCTTGTGGCAATATATCCCAACATTTTTATTTAAAAATATTTATTTGATGTCTACCATTCTACTGATAGTGGTCAGAGAGCCCGGTGGCGCCAGCATACGGCAGCCTCGCTTCTGCCAGTGGGCCCCAGGGCAGCTGTGGCTACAGTGTAGCCTGCCACCATCAGTGTGTGCGTGAATGACTGAATGTAGTGTAAAGCGCTTTGGTCCTGACTTGAAAAAGCACAATATAAGAACAGGTCATTTACCATTTATATTTATACATTTAATCCTTATTTTTTAATGATTACTTGTGTTGAAAAGTTTCTGCAAAATATGTTGATAATTACTTAACCACATTGCTAAAGGAATAAAGCCAAATAAAACAGATTTTACATTGATTTTTATCAATATAAATTGTTTTTGTTTTTCCATAAATAATGGTAATAATTATAAATTCCAATCAAATGTCTCTATTCCTCAGTCCCAACCTAAATCCTTACAACCGAAGGTTGTTCTGTTCAAGGAATACATGAGCTCTGTGTTGGCGGTGAGGGAGGACAGCTGGACGGTTTTCTTCATTGGAACAACCAGTGGGGAGCTCATTAAGGTGAGCGCTTTGTTTAAGGAGCAGAGATTACATCTTACCTTAAAAAAGCTTTGGTTTATTACAGATTGCTTTTAAACATTAATGTTGAGGCACGATGAGGAATCAAAATGCTGCCAGTTATAAACATACTTTATAGTAACGTCACCCAAATTTAAACAAAAACTTCCACTTAATGAGTCCAGATAAGTGAACTGAATACTATTATATGTATGATTTCTCTTGTGTTTAGGTGGCTGAGCAACAGCACCGCCTTAAACTGTTAAAATTGTATCTTATTATCCTAGTTTGGGGTTAACTTGTACAATCATCGGGCTACAATCCTTAAGTGTTTGAGTAAATCTTTAAACTTTGTAGCTCGATGCAATCACTGTGTAGAAAGTATATCACAGGATAAATGATCCATTAATCAGAAAAGATTTACCTAAATGCTCAATCAGCCTAAAATAATAATTTATCAACCACTTCTCATAAAGCTACAGTGTGCAATAAATAAAATCTAAGCCTGAAGTGGAGCTGTACAATGAAAAATGCAACATTGCATGTAGTAACCACCTTCACTGTTGTTGCCAGCTTGCTGTAGACGAGAACAATGTTCCAGGATGTCCAAAGGTCCTCCAAAGGGGTCTGAGAGGTTTTCCAAAAATCCTCCTGGACCCAGTGGATCGTAAACATGTGTATCTGCCTTTTAAAGACCAGGTAACTATTTCTTTTTTTTGTTTTATCGCTGAAGAATGGTCTAAAAATGTGATATAAATATAGTTTGATTTTATTTGAATTTTACTTGTACAGGTTTTAAAATCCAAGTTTTGTTTTCCAGATTCAGCGGGTACCAGTGTCAGATTGCAGTGCATACACAGATGTGAAGGACTGGTTTAGAGCAAAGGATCCACACTGTGTGTGGTGCGTTACTAAAAAAAAGGTCAGAGAAACATCATCTGCATCTAATCCATTTAGATAGGTCTGACATTTTCATTAAAATGTTTATTTTTTACACTTTTATTCAGCTTCATGTTTAAAGATGACTGCAAAGACTCAGAGTGGTTCTCATTCCTTGATGAATCCCCACAGAAACTGGTTTCCCACAGACTTGTAAAGGATCCCTCGGGGGAGGTGGGTCAATCACATGCTACTGACGTTCAGATGCAACTTTCAACTATTGATCCCCTTTAATTGATACTTTTCCAGCTCAGAGTAATTGTTAAAGTACACCTGACTGTGACGCAGAAGTTCAATCCTGCATTCAACTGCGAGTTTTCCTCAAACTCAGTTCAGATTTGTAAGCTAGATGGATCAAAGCCACAGTACCCACACTGCACCTGCAATCTCGCTGTCGCTGTTACGGATAAAGGTCAATGATGTTTGAGGAATTATCCATGGAAATGTAGCGACTGTTTGGAGAATATGCTGTTAATAAAACAACATAAAGAACTGGCAGGAAATTGGAACAGCAGCTGATTACTGAATATATTTATTGTTTTTCACATTTTTTATCTTATAAACTGTATTTTCTTGTAGAAATGACTGCATTGTCTAACTAGTCCATAACAGTTAGACCTGAAAGGTCCTTATTAGGATCGATTTACTGGTTTATTGAGAAGTAAATATCCAAAGAAACTAATGAAAGGAAAAAAACAATAAAAAAGCTCAACATATAATTTTAGTTAAGTTTCTATTTACTTTTAATATCACTGTTTCCACTGTTTGACAAAGCCTGAAATCTTCTCAGTGACTCTTCAATATCCCAAAATCTGCACTAAAATATCTTTGGAAGCCGCTGATCTGTTATGTTTGACACAATGTGACTTTTATCTATAAAATGATTAATGAATTAGTTCTAATAACAAATTAACCAAGAGAATGTTTGAGTTATAGAAACTGATGTCACGGTAAAAATCACATTTGGGGGTCTTTGGACAAACGAGGAACTAAAGCTGATCGACTGTTCTACCACTTCAATATCGTAAGTTTATTTATATTTTTGAGAGAGAGACAGAGAGAGAGAGAGAGAGATTCTTAAGGTTTATTCATATCATATAATTTTACTGTTTAACCAAAGTGTCCGTAGTTAGTTTTGACTCTGACTACTTTCTATTATTGTAAGTAAAGGGGAACGAACGCTGCCCAGATCAGAACAGGGCTGATTACCGTACAATAAGCGCTTTATGATTTCTTGTTCTCTCTTTGCAACGATGAAATAAACTGCTGACTGAATAAAATCCATTGATCTCCATTTATTTAACTGGAGTGAATAGTTGAATACTTTTTACAGCAACAGCGATTATATATACTACCCAGAATTTCCTTTATGACTAAATAGAGTGCTACACATCTGAACAGTAGTTACTGTTAGAATAGTAGCATCAAGAAATCTAGGACTCCATGATGCCTGCCAGGTTTTCCCTAATGATACTGGCTGCCTCTCACTATCTAAAAACATTAATATTTTATTGGACACTCTAAATTAAGTTCATTGGTGTGACTTTGTAGAGGTTTGATCTTTTTTTCCTGTAATGGATTGATGACCTGTTTAAGATGCAGCAAACCTTTAACGTACTGATCACTTTATCTAATAACAAATAATCTTTGACAAACATTTATTTTACTAAATAACTTTTGAATGTTACTGTATTTTAAATAAATAACTGTAAAATGATTATAACTTTATATTGAGTAGAAAACCTTGTGTTTTGTTATGTCTGCAGATGGGAGTCGTGTATCAGAGCTGGCTGTAGATGGAGACAAAATCATTGTATTTGGGCCAAAGAAGGAGAGCAAGATGTGACAGTAAGAGTTAATTTATTTACCAATAGTAGCTTTTAAAATCTGCTGGTTATTGCATTATTAAAATCTAAACCTAATTAAACCTAAAATATTTCATTTAGCAACATTAGCTGGTGGAAACAATTAGTGTAGGAAATAAAAGGTAATACAAATAAGAGAGAAAGGAAACTATTCAAGCTGGAAAAATACCATACCTGAATGTTCAGTAGATTTAAACAGGTCTTAGATGCAATGACCAATGAAACTAAATGTGGTTCAATGTTTCCTCTATAAGGAGAATGCTTGCAAAAAGATCTCTTCTTCAAAAGTGGTGTATTTTCATTCACACAATTCTTCTTACCTTTAGATACATTCAGAACACCACAGAGAGGAAATGATAAACGTGGATTTATTTTTGTGTTTTCTGACAGAGGCCAAAGATAACCTGCATCTTTCCCAGTACTGTATCTTACTTTGGCAGACACAATGCTCTGCTGACTGGAACTGACCTTGAAGATGTGATTGGAGTAAAGGTTCAGGCAGAACTGGACTGTTCTTCAAAGGAGTAAGTTACTCTCTAACGCTGCACTTATCGCCTTGAAATTTTCATTTCACCGCTAAGCTGCTGCTCATTCACTGTCTGAAAGCTGTACAATACAAAATTTCATTTTTTATAAACCCTGTCTATACAAAATGATAATAAAAAGTTGTCTAAGTCTTAGCATATACTCAGTTCTGTTCCACATGGGATCTTCATTTGGTCAGACATCAAAATACTAACCAAACATGCTGTTACAATGCAGGAAACCCACGCATACCGACCAGTACCTCTGCTTTGACTCACACCATCCACTGATACACAAACTAGGCGTCATCAGAACCCTCCAGACACGAACAGAAACCATTCCCACCACCAACAAAGGGAAGATGATAGAACAGGGACACATTAGGACAGCCCTGAAGAACTGTGGTTATCCCAGATGGGCTTTTCTAAAAATCAACAAGAAGAGGTCTGCTGAGATGGAAGAGAATGGGAAAAGGACCATCGTCATTCTCTATGTTGCTGTAGTCTCTGAAAAACTCAGGAGGATTTTCAACTAGCATCGAATCCCTGTGGACTTCAAACCCAGCAACACTCTGAAACAGAAACCAGTTCAAGCCAAAGATAAGAAAACCAGAAACAAGACAGACTACATGGTTTATGCCGTTCAGTGTAGTGAAGAGTGCACAGACCTGTACATTGGAGAGACCAAGCAACACAGACTCACGGCTCAACACAGGAGGGTCAACTCCTCAGGACAGGACTCAGCTAATCACCTAAACCTGAAGGCTAAAGGACACTCGTTGGAGGACAACAACGTCCATGTTCTGGCCAAGGAAGACCGATGGTTTTCACAAGGGGTGTTTGTCCCTCATGTTTCTTTGTTAGACCTACAGTATATTAATCTCAGTTCCCCCCTCCGCTAGTTAGAACTGAAAAAGCCTCTTTGATGACAGGAGAAACGTCTTCTATAAAAATCCATGTCCAGTTGCCTAAACTGAATTTTTTCAAGCTTAACTATGATCTAGAACAGGGGTCTTTAACAGGGGGTCCGTGACCCCTAGGGGGTCCTCGGAGGTACTGCTTGGTGGTCAAGAAAGTTTTGCTTGATTAGACATTTTTATATATATATATTCCCCCGTGCAATATTTTCCACTAATTGAAATGTCTTTAGATACGCATTAACATGAATTCAACTCACTGTAGTAAACAGATAAATAGAGGCAGAAGATGTCTTTCATCAATTCACTTATTCAGCAACACACAGGAGCTCTTTCAATCTGGGCACCGTTTCATTCAAAACACCTGTCCCACCAACCAGGAATCAGAATCAGAAATACTTTAATAATCCCAGGGTGAAATTTCTTTCGTTGCATTACTTTATCTGTAATAAAGTGACTGTAGGACCATTTTGATATAACACAATTTCATTAATATATGTAAAATTATGGGGTCACCGTTCCATCTCACCATCAGTTTGGGGGTCCTTGGCCTGGAAAACGTTGAAGACCCCTGATCTAGAAGACTCAGAATCTTGACAGATATGTTACTACACACTTTGGGATGGACTCCCCCTATCTGGTGGGATTATGAGAGATTTTCCAGGAAACTTGCAAAACAAAATCATCGCCAAGAGTTTACACTTGTGCTCTACAGTGAAAGGTCACAGAGCTTGAAAGATCCTCCTGAAAGCACAGCACCAGCTGCTGAACAAACTAATCAGACAGATAAATTTCACCATCAACGTGCTGAAAGTGAAACTTGATCACACAGGCGAGCGACTGTTCACAGCACATCCCAAGCAGATCATGGATGAGTTCACCAAGTTTGCAGAGAAGCCCAAATGTCCTACCCATTTGAAAAAGCTTTCTGGATGGGAAGAAAAACGTCTTTAAACATGGAAATTAAGTCCAATGAATTTTTTCTTACTTTTTTGAATTTCTATGACCTGGATGTCTGAGAATCTTCTTCAGCACCATAACAAAGGCAGGGAATGTCAAAAAAAATAACCAGTCCAGACAGACCGCCTCAGGGGAACTCACATCCACTAGCAGGAACTCCAACCCAACTCAGCAAGACTTCACAGATTATAGGGTGAATATTTTTTCTGACAGGACCCTCACCCAGCCTGAAAAGGAGGTCTTCAACATAGGCCTGAACTTTGCAGTTTTCCCTGAACATATCCCAACAGTGGACCTCATCACAGCCATGGAGACAGCCATCAGAAACCTCAAACTGACCTCCACAGCAGCTGAACAACATAGGCTGAAGGTCACTGCAGCTCTCTCCAGTGCAAAGGCTCCCCCTCCAAACCTGGCCATTCTGGAAAGCTCTAAAGCCCTCCAAAAAGACAAGGACACCATCATACTACCAGCTGACAAAGTGAAGATGCACAATTGTACTTAAGACAGCCGACTACCACACCAAAGTTAAAGCTCCCCTCAGTGACACAGCAACCTATAAATCACTGAAGAAAGACCCCATCAAGGGCTAGAAGATGATAGTCATCAGCTACTTTCAGCAGTTAGAAAAGGACAAAGCCATCGACAGGTGACAATACTACCTGCTGTACCCAGGAGAAGCTCTTTCCCGGATCAATGGCCCCTAAACATAGACAAGGAAGCAGCTCTTCTGAGGTCCATTATCAGTAGCTTTAACTCTGGCACAACATTGCCAAACATCTCGCTTCCATCCTTGCTCATTTGGTTGGCAACACACCAAATCTTTATCTACAGGATAAAGAACTTGACGCTGGACTCGGACAAGACCATGGTCTCATATGATGTCACATCTCTTTTTCTTTGCATCCGTACCAAAGAAGCCGTCTCTACAGTAAGGATGTGTTTACTTCAAGACCACATTCTGCCAGATAGAACCAATCTAACCACGGATCACATCCGTTCTCTTGGACTTGTGCCTAACCACAACATACCTCTAATTCAACCAAGAGTTCTACCAGCAGAAGCATGGACGGGCGACATGCTCTCCTGTGTATCCCATAGTGGTGAACTTATACATGGAAAAAGTGGAAAGCAGAGCTCTACACTCATACATGGGAACAAAACCCAGGCAGTGGTTCAGATACATGGATGAAACATGGATCAAAATAAGGACCAAGGATATCAACACGTTCACAGACCACATCAACAGGAATAAGACTGACAACATTGTTTACGCCACTCTGTGTAATGAAGAGTGCCCTTTACACTGGAGAGACCAAGCAACCGCTACACAGGCGCATGGCTCAAAACAGGAGGGCCAACTCCTCAGGACAGGACTCAGCTGTTCACCTACACCTGAAGGCTAAAGGACACTCGTTTGAGGACAATAATGTCCATATTCTAGCCAAGGAAGACAGATGGTTTCATGAGGGGTTAAGGAAGCCATTTTTGTTAGCCTGGAAAAACCACCTCTCAACAGAGGATCTAACCTCCTTGGCCAATCTAGTGGGAGGGATCAAAGCCACCTTTTGTCCCCGTATTTCTTTGTTAGACCTCTAGTATATAAATCTCAGTGCTCCCAAACACTAGTTAGAACTGAAGAAACCTCCTGGATGAGAGGAGAAAGGTCTTCTAGAAAACTTCCCGTCCAGTTGTCTAAACTGGATTTTTCAAGCTTTCTATGATATGATGTGATCTCAGTTTGAATGTTTCTCCCTCTTTAACATCATCTTGGTTTCTAATTAGATCTCCTGTTTGGAACAACAATGGGGTGAACCTGACTTTCCACATTCCCCAAAGAATCAATGAAGCTGTGGCCAAAGTGTGTCTTCTACTCTCTGATGGGAGTTGCCATGGCGAAGCTGAGCTCAACTATCAATCAGTGCCATCTTGTGAAAACATATCACCATCCAGTAGCTGGAGAAGGTAAACATATATATTTTTTTTACTTTAAACAGTGACTATAGTATTCCAAAGCACTAAAATAATCCATCTAAAAGTTAAAATGATTGGCTTTTTTGAAGGTTGCAGATTTGACTTATTACTAATGTAAACATATTGCAAACAGTGGAAAGGCTCAACAATATAGACTTTATAAAATTTCCTATTCTGTATCTGTCTTCATTAGATGGAGATAAATAATTTCCTTTGAGGAAAACTCTCTGAGATCCTGACAATGTTGATAATAATCTTCTTCTTTAACTATTGCATTCATCATCCAGTGGGAAGAGGAAGATCACGATCGAAGGATTCAACTTAGATCACGTGGAACAAGTACAAGTTGAATATTATTATGATCATAGAGACATTACACCTCCTTGGTTCCTCCCATTCTTTCTACCTCCTTGGGTCATCAAGGACAGAGCCTTAGCACCTCCTAAGCACATCAACTCAACGGTTGGTATATAGACACACATACAATCCCTCAGACTTTTTTTCACATTATTCCCTAAGGAAGCATTTATGCTTCATAATTAACATTTTATTTCCTCACACATATTAACCAGAAATTGTGTTTTTAGGTAGAAGCTAAGCTAAAGACTGTTAGATTCAGCTCAGCAGTTTCTGGTTGGTAAGCAGTGAAACTGCAGCTTTAGAGTCGAATCATCAACCATCCTTAAAGTAGATTACTGACAAAAAAACAAACTTCTAACAAGAAAAGCCTTCAGAGAGCATCAAGGCCGAAGTGAGGTACATTTTCAGCCATGGAGTTTCCCGCCTCAGACCGGCCCACTAAAGTCAATGACCTATATTCATTTAAAAAACGTAATATTAAACTTATAATTAAATTCTACTACATCACATTGTTCTGTAAAGGTTTATAATTCACAGTATTTCTCTAAAATAGTTTTAATACAGTACAAGTTAGGATTCCTTCACAATGCAGATTTATTCAAACAGACAAACGAACAGAGATGAAAATAAAACCTTGTTGGCAGAGGTGATAAGATTATATAAAGTAAAGGTTATAATAGCATAGTAGAACTGTGTAAGGTTTCTACCTTATAACTTCAACTGCTGCGTTTAGATTATTTAATAACAGAATAATAAAATAGAGACCTCATTACCTCATTATGGTATTTTTCAATGCTCTGTCCAGAACAAGGTGCTAGATTTCCTGTTTCTAACAATGATTTGGGAAGTTGATGTAAAAAAGGCTGATTACAGACAGGAGCAGATGCTGAAAGTGGTTTTATAAAATCAGCAGGTAGTTTGAATGAGAGAAATGTGTTTCTGATTTGACCAAATAGGTGACCTGAGCTCCGTGTGCTGAGGTTCACCTAATCAAATCAAACCGAGTCGGGATCCATGCTCTCTATCCTCTAATCATTTCATTACGGCCTGTTTTGAAAAAGTTAAATTTAAAAATTCTCCAAGAGAAAACAACCTTTACATAAAAATTTATCACATTCCCTCCAAGTTCCCAACGTCTCTGATTGTTAAGGTGGATCTTCTAAGGATGAGAAGTAAAGAAAAAAAATCAGTCTTCATCACTAGAATTTTGGAATTACAGAAGGAAAAATGAGACACAGATTTGATCGGCTCACTTCAGCCTCTATGGCTTTGATGTAAAAAATTCTAATCACAGGGGAAAAAAAGATATTTGCAAATTAAAATGGACACTATGGATGCTGAGAAACTAGTCCATGCATTTGTTACTTCAAGGCTGGACTATTGTAATTCTTTACTATCAGGAAGTCCACAAACTGTAGAGTTAAAAGCCTTCAGCTGATCCAAAATGCTGCAGCCAGAGTTCTGATGAAAATGAAAAAGAGAGATCATATCTCGCCTATCCTGGCTATCAGAGATCTGATTGTTCCTTATGTTCCTAACAGAGCACTTCGCTCTCAATCTGCAGGTTTACTAGTGGTTCCTAGAATTTCTAAAAGTAGAATGGGAGGCAGATCTTTTAGTTATCAGGCTCCTCTCCTGTGGAACCAACTACCAGTTTTAGTCCGTGAGGCAGACACCCTGTCTACTTTTAAGGCTAGACTTAAAACTTTCCTTTTTGATAAAGCTTCTAGTCAGAGTGGCTCAGGTTATCCTGAGCTATCTCTATAGTTCTGCTGCTATAGGCTTAGACTGCTGGAGGACATAGGGACCCCTTTTTCATCATTCTGCTTCATTCTATCTCTATTCTCCCACTCTGCAGAATCTGTTAGTTCAATCTCTAACGTTCTGCTCTCTCTGCTTTTTCTCATAGTAGCTTCATCTGGTCTGTTCCTGTTTGGCTGTGACTCCATCCTGGAGAGAAATATCAGCTGTGCTGCTGCCATCAACACCTTTGTTTCTAGATGTTGGAGCTTGGCCTGTTTTCCAGTGTAGTCCTGTTTCTCTGACTGTGACTAACTGGATGTGCTCTATTCATCCTGTGACATGGGAGCTGGCTCGGAGCTCGTCTGCCTGGCTGTGTGTTTCCTGGACGGGGCCGCCTGTGGAGCTGGTTGACAGTTGCCTTTTGTATCTATGCTTCTTTTCTATGTCTGCTTCTGTCTCCTTGAACCCCAGTGGGCCTCAGCAGATGGCCGCTCACACTGAGCCTGGTTCTGCTGGAGGTTTCTTCCTGTTCAAAGGGAGTTTTTCCTCTCCACTGTCGCTACAAGCATGCTTAGTGTGAGGGATTGCTGAAGAGTCAATGAGTCGATGCAATCAGCTGGTTTTCCTTAGATAGAAAACTTTGAATCAATCTGACTGGATGATCTGGTTGAACTAGAAAGTGACCTGAGATGACATAATGTGAATTGGAGCTATAGAAATAAACTTTATAGAATTGAATTATTGGCCTTTAATATTGTTAATTATTCATCCTGATTTTAAAAACCTTTGCTTTGATTTCATCAATAGAAAATCCTCCTAGATGTCTGATTACATCCTCATAGACATTTAGAACTAGACTGACACGTTTCAATAACACTAAGTAATTTATTCATTTCTAGCATTGCAATAATTAATGCTTTAGTGTTTTATTGGATTATGTTCAGATCGATTCACTTCAAGTTGTATTGTAGCCGGTTACTCTAATCTTAAAAACTTTATGTGGGCATAATTATATTTGAATTTGAATTTTCTTCTATCCTTTACAGATTCTCACCTTTGAAACGCCTGCTGTGGAGTGGGAGGATGGAGGGATTGAAGACGGCATTTATTTAATAGTAGCAAATGAATCAGTGGATTGCTCCAAAGGACTTGGATATCCATTGAACTATTGGTATAGTTACCCTTCTGACCTATTTTACCATCCGGATCCCAAGTTTCCCACTTTTGTAGCGAACAAGACAGAAAAAAAAGTCAGAATCATGATTCAGGTTTTTATTCTTTTTTTCTACTAATGTTCACATAAGAAGAAATCTTCTGTTCTAATTTGTCTTTATTTTCTTTCAGTGTTTAGACGGGCAGCTGGATCTGACAACAGAAGAGTTGACAGTGTGGGGTGTTAAAGATGGGAAGCAATATCCCTGCATCATCAAGGGCAAAGAAATAACAGATACTGAGGCTAAATATTTCATCTGTGAAATTCAAAACACAACTAATGTCCATTTTAATCAGCTGACGGTAATATTGTTAAACTGCAGTAAATATAATTATAAACCTTATTATACTGATGATTAAAACCAAAATCGTGTAAAATAGTGCAGCTTGGGTCAAAATGTAGCTGAAAATAGTTCATGTATTTGTTAGAAAAATATTTAATCTTCACGTAGCTCCAGTTAAACTGATTCTTAGCTCTAAATAAGCTGCAAAACCTGAAATAAAAACAGACATATTCAATCATTCATTCATTTATATCCATTTATCCAACCAAACACAGACTCCCTAATCGAAGCTTGATGAATGAAAGAAGAACAAACTTATTCTATCTGCCTCTTCATTTGTTTCATATAAACTCTCTATATGTTCTGTTAAAGTGTTTACATCCATCTTTTCTCAGTTATCCACATTTAATGTGATTACATTAAATACAATTTAAGGTATTTTGTGCAGTATTGAATATTTAAAATGAATTTTAACCTTTATACATCCCCAATATTTTTATATGTTGATTTAATGTCATCATTCTTGACTCTTTAATTCCTTGAATAAGTTCAATCTGCAAATTAGTACCTTTTATGGTGATATTTCACTCCATTTTAAAACCTGTTTTTTTTTTTTTTTTATTATCTCTTCGTTGAGTAACCATCTCCAAATACTTGGAGTAATTTCCTTACTGAAGTAGAAATGTTTTCTATCTATACTTTACTGGAGGAATTAATTTTTAGACAACTTTTTCCTTCTACTCCTTACAGTTTAGAAATATTCTCGTTAGTTTTCTTTCATTTAAGCTCATTTTCATTATGGCCTGTTGGTATAAAAAACAACAAAAAACAAATAAAAATGATTAGTTGCTTCCAGACAATTAATTGCTTTGTGGTTGGACTCGGTGCTGCCCCAACCTGTTGCTCACCACATACCAAAACAAATAGTTTTTCAAGATGATGCAAAGTTAAATGTGACGCTGTTACCATTAGTTATAAAACTGAAAAAATTAAGTCTAAGGAAGTTATTATCAATAATTTAGAGCGTTAAAGCTTCTGGCATTAACAGTTTTTCCTGCATTACTTTGACTTTTATACTTTAAGTAGTTTTAAAAATAGTACTTTTAAACTTTTACTGGAGTAAAAAGTTGAAGTTGATCCTCTAACTTCTATTAAAGTGTTTTTAAACAGTAGGATTTATTTCTACTGGAGTAATAATCATTAATACTTTTAACTGGTTCCTGTTTTAGGGACTTGCTTTATTTTTCATTGGTAACATTTTCTTATTTGCTTTTTATAAAACCTGCAGGATTTTATAATCTACTAATTCAAGAAATGTTAATAACTGAAGCGTCATTGAAAGGATCCCTGTGTCTTTTTTTATTGTATTATCATATTTTCAGCGTCTAATTAATTAATTGACAGCGACTGACATTAACACTGATATTTCTTCAAACAGGTTAAATATGGAGGAATGACAGTGCAGGTGTGGAATCCACCTCTTTGTGAGCAATACCTCCTGATCCTGCACCTCCTGCTGGTTCCCTCTCTCACTGTTGGTAAATCTGCAAATATTGACTCTAAAACATTTTATGCTATTATTATTATTATGCATAAAGATCAGTTCATCCAGTTTGTAACTGTTTATCTTTCAGTGTTGGTGATTCTGTTTCACTGCTCCTTTATGAAGAACAAACCCTGATTATTGACAGCGGTTTTTCCAGCTGAGAGTCGCTGTGACATCATGACTAGTTGAATCCTCCGTTCATCCATAAGAAATATTATACAGCTGCTTGCAAAAATTTAACGCAATGCTTCACTTTTTGAATTTGCAATTGTTTTCAACTGTTTTCTTTTTACTTTTCTTTATTTTTATATGTTCATATTATTTACCATTTTGGGAATAAAAAGCTACAAGCTTCTAGATTTCACCCATTAAGATAAAAATAATCTAATAATAGAGTTTAGTTGATGATTCAAGCTAAACAATCTGCCAGAATAAAACATTTATTCCTCTAGATGCTCCTGAGTTTAAGTTTAAGGCAAAGAATAAAGAGGCGATCATCCTGCTTCGTTTTCTTCAACAAAAATAATTATAAATCATAACAAATGTTAATACTGGCCATAAACAAATAATTATACAGTATTTAATTCCTGCTCACTCTAATATAAAAGCTAAACCTAATTATTTTAAGTGGACTGACAAATATTGCATAACTTTAAAATGTTCTCAAGTTTAAATGAATGTTTTAGAACCACTGAAAAAATGAGTCTTTGTTCTAAACTAGCTTTAATTTTTATGCTTGACTGTGGAGATTTGGAAAATTATCCATAAACTTTTAGCTCTCAGTGTTGTAATATATAGGTAGGTAGACTGCATTTATCAACATTATGCAGAATTACAAATATTACATGGATTATTATTAATGGTTTCTAATGTTGGCTTGTTAATAAGCCCAGCATAGAACAATTAAAGATAAATTAGTTATTGTAACAATTAGTGTGTTTAGATGGTGTTAAACAAAACCTCCCAGTGGTGACTTTTTTTTTTTTCCTAAACTAGTTAAACTAAAACAAATAGCTAGAATAGTCAAACATTTTGGATATTATTTCTTTTCATTTAATAATGTAAATATTTTGAAGGTTGGGGCTTTTAGCTGATATGATGGTGTTCCTGAAGGGATGTAAATCCAAGCAAATATCTCAAACCTGTGCACTGCAAAAATTGAAATCTAAGTCAATTTTTCTTTAAATAATTTTATTTTCTTTTGATTTGAGCAGATACTTGAGATAATTGTCCAACGGAATAGAAATCTTTCACATTTAAAATAGGAAAAATAAATTAATTCAAGTATTTAATTTCTAATTACCTCCTTTTAAGGTTAAAAACATGTTATAGATATTCCCATTATCTGCTTATATTAAAGACAAATAGACTTATTTTAAGAAATCTCTACTTTTTTTCAATGAAGAGAAATAAAAGCAGATGATTTAACAGGCAAAGAAAAACATCAAAAACAGTTTTGATTTTAGCAAAGTTAGGGGTTTTTACTCAATAAGTTTTATTTTTTCCTTAAATGTGTTTTCAGTATTTTTTTTTTTTTTTTTGTTTAGGCTAATGCAGCATGGCAATGAAATAAAAGGCATTTATTGAAAAAAAATTGCTGGTCAGTCATTTAAAAGAAGAAATATCTTCAGTAGTAGACAGTATGCTAAAAAATACTTTGTTATAATTCAGCTCAGAAAAATTTCTGCATATCAAAATCTACAATGAAACAGCTACCAAATACTGACAGGAGGTGGCGCTGTTACCATTGATGCAAACACCTTTATTTCCAGATGCAACAGAAAGATGTATGATAAAAATAGTTTTCATATATATGCCATTTTTTTTTCCAAATATATTTTATTGAATTTTTCTCTTTTAATGTACTTACAAACAAACTTAACATTGCAGACATGAACCTCTGCATACTAGCATTCACTCACGCACTCATCATTCAAACCTGCATTTGTTCTAAAATATACAAAACACTTTAGATTATGATACAGAAAACGTAATAAGACAATATGGAAATAAAAGCTGTATTCAAGACATCCATTTAATAAGCTCCGCCTTCAGTCTCTATCATCCTCATATATGGCTCCCAGAGGTTATCAAAGTCTTGCTGTTTACCCTTGGCGATAAATGTAATCTTTCCAGTCCGAGCGAATTTGCTTTTTCTTTTTTCCAGAGTCCCAGGGAAGGGGCATCCATGCTCCTCCAGCATAATGCAATAGATCTTCTGGCTTAAAGAAGTCCATAATCTATCAATTTGGTTTTAGTCTGTGATTGTTTAAATTCCACTGGGTATATTCCTAGAACACTTATTTTAACCTCTAATGTGAACTTTAAACAATTCAGATAGACACCTAATAACCTCCCTCATAAACTTCTGGATTTTAAGACATTCCCATAAACAATGGAGAAGAGTTCCTTTTTCAAATAAGCATTTAGTACACGTCTCTGGAATATCACTGAACATATGATGAAGCCTAACAGGTGTCATATAGGTTCTCATAAGCCATTTATATTGCAGAAGTTTAAATCATGTGTTTATCGTTTGTTTTTGCGCTTTTAAACAGGCCTGGTTCCAGTCCCCCTCATCTATATCTTCAAGAGTCTCTCTTCTCCAAGCTTCTAACTTGTCAACTGCTGAATCCTTAGAGGAAAGCATAAACAGATTATAGAAAACCGAAAGAAAACATTTCCCTTTTAAGTCTCCAACACGGGTGGAATATCAACTATTCGTTTCATTTTTGATGACGTATAGTTTTTCAATTGTAAATATAAAAAAAAATGTTTTGGGGTATTAAATACTTCTTGCTTAGCTCATATATTTATTATTTATTTTTATTTATTTAAATAGTTAAACAACAAAACCTCACAGATTTTTACATTTGTGGACTAAAACATTACAGCCTGAGAAAGTGAAAACAGGAATAAATTAATTACAAATGCAACATATCAAAGTTTGCTTGTCTTTTCCGAATCGTTTGCGTTGGCCTATATTTTATTATTTTGGTAGAAAAATCATACCCTAAAATGATTAAAATAATGTGATGATGGGGCTAATATGTGAGGGAAAAACGAACAAAGCTGAGCACTTCATCTTGACTTAATTTTTTAACAGCCTTTTCTTTATAAGAAACTCTGTCTGTTATAAGATCTGATTTAATTCAAATACTACATTTCCCTTTGGTCAGGAGTTTTTCAGGCCATACACACTGAAATTCTCTAACCACTATTGGAAATGATCAACCTGGACCAGGTGCTAGTGTAGAACTACAGGCCTAGATCCAGAACCAAACACACAGAAGCAGCTTTTAGATCTTTTTTAATAAAGTTGCCAAACTCACCCAGAGCCATAGCTCTGTTGAACCATCCATTCCACCTGCTCTCAGCAGGAATGATTTTATGGGATTGTTTATAAATAAGATTGATCTTATTAAAAATAATATCATTAGCACTCCTCTATCCGTGATTGGTTTGTCTCTGGTGGGTGGGGCAGCATCTGAGGTAGTCATTGAATCTGAATGACTTGGTCAATTATAGACCTATATCCAGTCTTCCTTTCTGATCTAAATACTTGGGAAAAAAGCTGCGGAACAAGTGTTTGATCACTTCCACCATGATGACTGAATTTCAATCAGGTTTTAGAGCTCCTCATTGCGATGAAAGGGCAATGGTGAAAGTCACTAATGATATTCTCTGTGCAGCACTAGGCTGATTTAAGACTTTTTTTTTTATCTTCCAGATTTTGTTAATGTTAAATTTTCTTCATGTTCCAGGGTTAGCTGTGGAGTACCACTTCTGAATCTTTATGCTCCCTAGCAAATTGAAGCCTTTTTTTCCGGTAAGCCCCACTGATTAGTGGATTTCTTACGGCTACACAGCTGTTCAGTCCCGATCCCTTGAGTTCCCCTCGCATTGTGCGTGTGGAAATGCTCCTACTTTCAGTATTAAACATAGCCCTGAGTTCTACTGTTGTTTTTCTTCGATTTGATCTCACCACACGTTTAAGGGATCGCCAATAACGATCATTCAGGATCTTTTTCCTGCCACATTTCTTCCTTGAAGATGATGGGTCCCCACTATCCTTCCAGTTTTTAATAATGCGTTGGACAGTTCTTAACCCAATTTTTGTAGTTTCTGCATCTCTTTAGATGTTTTCTCTGCTTGAAGCATGCCAATGATTTGACCCTTCTCAAACAGACTAACATCTTTTCCACGACCACGCGATGTGTCTTTCCACATGGTTGTTTAGGAAATGAGAAGCAAGTCATTGCACCAGTTGGGGTTAAATAACTTGTTGCCAGCTGAAAGATAATCGCCCATGCAGTAATTATCCAATAGGAGGCTCCTACCTATTTGCTTAGTTGAATCAAGGTGGCGACTGTTTTTTTTTTTGGCCATGCAGTGTATTTCGGTGTGTTCTTGGTTAATTAAAGTTTTGTTAAAAAAAATTGGGAAAATGTATTAAATAATGTTAAGGGTCGGCTGTTGAAGTGGAAGTGAGTGTTACCTAAAATGTCATATAGAGGAAGACTTCTGGTCATTTATAATCTAATTTCTTCCATCTTGTGGTACCGGTTAATCCTCCAGTTTCTCTCTCTCAAATGTTCAAAGGGTTCAGGTGGATTTTTTTGGTATTAACTTCACTGGATCCCTGAAAGTATTCAATTGTTGCAGAGAAGAAGGTGGACAAGGCCAGGTCCATCTGGCCAGCAGAGGTGCTGCTTTTTGTTTTCAGAGACTGCTCACAGGACCTGGAGATCTGGTGTGGAGGAGTATATCATGCTGCATTCTCTGGAGGTTCAGTGGCATGAGTTTGGATTTGTGTCTTTTTCTGATGGACTCCAGCAATTTTAACTCGTTTTCTTCCAGTTTTTGATAAGAGTGTTTCTCTGTGTGGACTTTGCTGAGGAAGGAAAGGCAGCAGCAGGCTGAGACTCTTCACCATCACCACATTCATGCTTATTGTGAGGGATTGCTGAAGACTCAATGAGTTTATGCAATCAGCTGGCTTTCCTTAGATAGAAAACTTTGAATCAGTCTGATTGGATGATCTGGTTGAATCGTCTCTGTGTCTCTGTGCCTCAGATGACTTGGTGTGAATCAGCCTGCTCATTTGTGGTTTTGCTATGTTCCTCCCATTTCTAGCACATTTATACAGAGCTGCAGAGTTTTATTGCCAAGATCAGACTACCTTTCACTCTGTGAGAGTCTGACTGAATCTGAGTGGCCTTATTTGATGCAAGATGATCCTGCTGGTTTTTGTTTTACTTCCTGAAACCTGTTTGGGGTCACATGGAAAGAGTTTTTAACTTGGCTGAAAGCATTCAGCAAGTCACAGTAGCTACCAACTCTGTTTACATCTCTACAGAGGAGAAGCTCTATCAGCTGAGCCACGACCTGACTCTGATCCACAGCCTGACCCAAAGAGGCATCCTGAGAAACGGGCATCAGATGGGCAATGAGGAGTTTTTCCGGATACCAGAATCAACTGCATTTAACGCTACTTTTAAAATCAATGTGTTGATTCCATTTATCAGAAACACCACAGTGGTCAGCTGTGGTGTGACTGACAACTGTGGTTACTGTGAGATTCTGGATCTGAAGAATATCTCAAAGATTCTGTATAGAGAAAACATTCAGGTGGGACCTCTGAGGAGCAGCAACGGGTCGGTCAGCTTTCTGGTTGATATACAGAAGGATCCAGCTCAGACTGGGACCTACATCCTGACTGCCATCAAAACAAACAGAGATGATTTAGAGCAGAGAAAATGCATTTCTGACGTAGTGACTGTCAACTTGCATGATACAGATGATACCGGCATTGGGGGCATATTTTCCCTGTCTGATTATACAGTTACGCCTGGAATCCAAACTGAAGCTGGTGTAGATTTTGTGGATGGATTTCAGATCAACTCAACAGTGTTTCTGTTCTCCAACGTGGCATCAGGAGCTAAAACCAACAAAGTCCGTCTGATTTGGCTTCAGGCTGAAACCAGTAAAGCTCAGACTCTAAAGTCTCTTGGTGGAGCGACTCTCAGTAGCTCTGACGGAGGTGAAGGCAGCAGACTGCTGGCCTCCTCGCTCATCCCAGGAGGACAGCAGGTCCTTTGGAGCGGAGTGTTCAGTTTGGATGGAGGAGAGACCAACACTGAGCTGCTGCTGTTTGACATCAGTCCTGATCAGAGCAGGACAACAGGCACCGATCCAGACTTCTATTACTCATCAAACAAGCCTAACATGCCGGTAGGTCGCTGGATTTAACTAAACCCCCTGATGATGGAAAACAGATCAAGACTCTAATTATAGACCTAAAATCAAATGTTTATTTATGTTCAGTTTTTTTAATTTCTCTTTGAGATTGATAAAGTATTTTTGAACTGAGTTGATAAAATGGAGCAGATTGTTAGACACCCAAAAAAATAAGGCAGGCTGTCTTCTATCAAAAATGTATTTTTTAAATTAATATCCAATAATGTTAAATATTTCACTAAACAGGTCATCAAAAGCATTTGCTTTGTGCTTTGTTCACTGACTATTGAATGAACTTCACATAACTACACATTGAAGTTATCACCTAATAGTTATTGAGCTGATTGACAATCGATGCAGAGTGCTCTGCTGCATTTCAACATTGAAGACGGTGGATAGAACTGTTCTACTATGAAACTATATTATAGGTCTCATATTTGTACAGCTACTGATGATTTTATATCCATTTAAACATTAAAGCAGAGCTGTTTTAATATAAACATTGATACAATTACAAGATAATTATTTCTGTTATCAGAGGTTTGCAAAAATATAGCCAATCTTATTCAATGTATCCTTAGAAAATTTACACACATTTTAAACAGATCGTACAGTCAGAAAACCCACTGATTGCATTGAGTCACTGACTTGCAGGCAATTGACTTGCATTGACCTCCAGCAGAACCAGGCTCGGTGTAACCGGCCTTCTGCTGAGGCCTACTGGGGGTTCAAGAGAGTAGCAGAAATACGAAGCACTGATCCACAAATATGATCCCTGTGGTACTCCACAGGTAAATCTAGAGCTTGAGAAATCTTAATCAGTAACATGAACAACCAGAATTCTTTCAAAAAAATAAGATTTAAACCAACCTCTTCCTAAAGCCAGGCCTGGGTTTGTCAGTTAATCCCCAGTGGGACCAGCACCTGCAGGAACTTCAAGAGCATTGGGGAACAGTCAGGAGCTTGGGCCTTGTCTACCTGACACTTAAACCCACTCTAGGGATGTAGGATGTCGGAGGTTTGTTGGGGAGCAAAGCCTGATTGGGTGTGTAAGAGCTACCAGCTAGAAATATTCAGAGTCGCCTCCACACATAGCATAGGCTCTGGAAACAAACTCCTTAAGAGAGGCTGTACTCTTCTACTACCATAGCAGTAGCATATGGAGAGAAGTGAAGGGCTGGGTGGGTTTATTTGTCTCCTAACTTAGCCGGGGGTCCAAGAGGACTTGGACGGTCGTCTCAGCCTATGGGCAGAGTGACGGAGTACTAGGCCTTCTTAGGCATTGTGCTCAATAGTGCCCCTCTTAGGGAATCCCTCATTCTTCTGGGGGACTTTAATCCTCATACAGGGAACTACAGTGATACCAGGTGGGATGCAATTTGAAGGAACGAACCTCCGGCTGTGAATCTGAGTGGTGTTTCATTGCTGGACTTCTATTATTCATGTGTTGTCCAAAATGCACATCATGTTGGACCATGTTGTATGCTTCTATTGTTGAGGCCCATAAGGCAACTCCCGAACCCTATGGCGGACACTGACAGTAGGGAATCTGTTCCCTCTGGTACCTGTTGTCCTGAGGAAGAAAACAGGTACCATGAGCCCAAGCAAGCTGCTGCTTTGGCAGTTGCCAACAGACTGCCATTAACATCCCTGAGAGTTACTTCTGCCCCCTGTCTGTCAGGGGGGCAGAAGATAAAAGACTTGTTCTTGTCTCCAGCAATATGTGGGGTCCACCATGGACAGGTCACCAGCCCATCACAAACGCTCCAGTTACATTTAGATATAAAAATATTGCCTCATGTAATCAAATTAATAAAAATGGCACACCAGGTGCACATTATTCTTTATTAGGCAGAGAAGGCAATGCAATGACTATGTGGTCAATAGAACGGAGGCGAGAACTTTACTACCAATAGTTTCACACAGTTTTCATCCTGGGACATAAAGATGAGCATGAAGTATTCAGCCTTCAATTAGTGAGAAGCTGCCTTTACAACAAAAGTTAGCTATGCTTATTTTCTATGTGTTTATGCAGGTTTATATACTTTAAATTTAATAACTATAGTTTCTGTTTCTCAGACAGAACCAAAGACCCTGAAACCAGAGATAGTTCTTCTGAAATACCATCACATGACCTCAGTGTTGGCCATGAGGCAGGGCGACTGGATGGTCTTCTTCTTTGGAACTGCTGATGGATTTCTTATTAAGGTGTGTATAAAATTGGTGAACAGGTGCACAGTTTTATATTATTAAAACACTTTAAAGTACAGTATTTCATTTTTTTAACTCTTTAATATGATGTTATTCTTATACATTTTTCTAAGGTCCACATTTGCGTGACCAATTTTTTCTATAATCTTTTTGCTGCTGTAAACAGCAGATTTTACCCATTGTGGGACAATAAATGGATTTTCTATTCTAAGTACTAAACACATTACCATTGGACAAACAACACTGTCTAAACAAAGATAATAGATTTCTGGTAACAGAAAGGAAATGATCTAGATTTTAATACAAGAAGTCAGCAATCACAACAGACGACAATCTAACCTAAAGGTCTTTATTTTTGTGTGTGATGGAGGGGGTTTATCTTAAATACATCTGCTGCTAATGCATTAAAGACTGAATACAGTTGGTTGTGGTCTGTTCATTAGCTGTTTGAAATTTACAATGTTGCACTAATGTGAAATGTTATCTTCAGATGTTGATGATTGTAGTTAATGTGTCCCAGAGGGTGAAGTGTTTTATATCAATTTGTCATTTACAAGCTGAACAGTTTGTGTTTTTGTCATTTTCTGATCAAGGCTGCAGGTTTAGAAGAAGTATATAGTGACTGCTTCTCTTTTTCAGCATGTCTGATAAATCCCTATCTTTGGGTTCTTGGATATTTTCTGATCAATTGCTGCCGTTACTGCGAATAATTAGCAGTACTTAATTCACAGTTGCCTGTTTTGGTTTCAGTGCACTTCTCTTTTTGTAGTTTCAGTTTGTCAAAGACTTGAGCAGTTCTTCATTTTGGGGGATGCTGTAGCTTTTTACAACACTGATACTGACACATCTAAACTAAAGGCTTTTTGAGTCAGTTGGATAAAAAAGCTATAGATTCCTGATCGTAATGCTAACTTCATCTTCCTGGTCAACAGCTTGGTCAAACACTGCTGTGGAATAATATTTCATTTCTCACTAATCAGCTTTGTTGTTTCTCACACTGGAACCAACAACCTGTCCAAGCTAATCCCATTAAGCAAAAGTGGATTGGAGGGTTGTCCTCACCACTTGAAGCTTCTTAGAGCATCCTTAGACTAGAGGTTTCTTATTGCAGCTGTTCCAAAAAAGCTAAAATCAATCCACTGGACTTTGTTTGAAGACGTTTTTCTTCCGTCCAGGAAGCTTTTTAGATTCAAAATGTCAGAAATAGCGTCGAGTTCCAGGTTTTAACCAGCAGCCCAACAAAGCTGTCATGATAGGCTTAAGAGGCTGAACTCACATGCAGAACACCACAGGAAGCTGAGTAAAAGTTTAACAGAGTTTATTGAAAAACACACAGAGTGATTATGAACTGGTTCTGGTACAGGTCCGGGACTGGAATCACTGACATCTGCAGAGATGGATAGTTTGATTAGCCAGGCAGCGAGATGGCTTGTCGAGTGTGTGAATCCAGAATTTACCTAGATGAGGTTCTGGCAGATCCTTTGAGAGAGGGGAAACCGGTTGGGTCCAAAGACTGTAGATTCAGCAGGGAGCTCAGCGGCAGCAGCGTCTAGCTTCTGAGTCGTTAGTTTCAGACCTTGACTTGGTTTCCTAGCTCTTCCTTGAGAGCTGTTGGAGGAATCCAGACTGATGTCTCCGGGTTTGGCTTCCTTGGGCAGGCAGGCAGGTTTCCAGACAAGCTCATCCAGAGCTTCAGACTTTGATCAGGTTTCCTATAAGGCAGAGAAGACAGAGGCAGGTTAGAATCTAGTTCCCCTCTAGAGTCTACTAGGATTCTATAAATTAACAGAGGCTTAGGTTTTGCTAACCAAACTTGGTCAACACTGCGGTGTTGAAGGAAGGTCTGGCTGCTGCTTATATAGGAAGGTCTCCTGATGGGCTGATGAGCTTCAGGTGTGCTGGAGGGCTCCAGCCCAGGAGACCCACAGCGCACTCTGCTGGAGAAAGGTGGTACATCTCCAGATCCCAACAGTAACCCCAGTCCCTAACAGAAAACATAAAACAGAAGAGGATCCTCGGCGCCCTCTGGTGGGCAAAGCCTCAGGATCCCAACAAAAGCCTTGTTTTTGTTTAGAAAACATGCAAATAGAAACGGATGAACGGGTCCCCCCCTTTGGAATGGGGGTCGTTTGGCTTCTTTGTTAGCCTGCAATGCCTCATACCTGTCTATGTCTCTGAAAGGGGGGTCGTTGGAGGGAATTGTTGGCCTGGCTGAATAGACGGGGTCTTCTGTCAGCAGCATATTGCATTAAACCAACTATTTTGGTATTTCAAAATGACTGGCCTTATAAAAGCTTCAACTATAATCTACATTGTTGTTTCCAGTTTGCTGTGGACTTGAATTATAAGCCCACCTGTCCAAAGGTGGTCTACAGAGCAACCGGAGAGCACAGAGTCTTTCTCAAAATCATTTTGGATCAAGCGGATCAGAAACATGTGTATTTGCAGTTTAAAAACAAGGTATGAGAATTTTTATTTCATATTTTCACGAAAAATTGTTTGTTTGTTTTTTTACTTTTTTGGGGTTTTTTTTTTCCAGATTAGTCGTGTTCCGGTCTCTAACTGCAGCACTCACAGAGATGTGAATGAATGTCTGTCTGCACAGGATCCCCACTGTGTGTGGTGCGTCTCTGAAGGCAGGTCAGAAACTTTCTTTACTGATGAAACCTTCTAACAAATGTGAACTTTGTGATGACACCCATTTATTATTTTTTAGCTGCACATTTGAAAATCACTGCAGAGATTCAGAGTGGTTGTCCATACCTAATGACACTCAGAAGAAAATCGTTTCCCACAAACTTGTGAGGGACTCCAGTGGAAATGTTGGTTTATTAACTGCATTCATTTAGAACTATTTGTTGTTCTTTTAGATTATTTCATATTTTTTGCTCTTTTCTTTTATAGATCAAACTAGTGATTCAGACACACCTGGAAAAGCACCTGAAAGTTCCTTCTAACTTCACCTGTGAATTCTCCACTAATTCCAGTCAGCTTTGTGGCCAAAATGGCCTTTCAGCACAGTTCCCTCAATGCAACTGCATCCTTCCAACTTTTCCTAATAATGGTAATAAAATGACCTAGTAAAATGACCTATTATCAATAATCTGAACAGTTCTGAACATATGAAGGTTGCTTAAAAATCTGCCAATCCTTCTTAGGGTCTGAACCCTTAAGACCAACAATATTACCTGCCTATAATAAACATCCAGTGTTTCTGATTAATTTGGTCTGGATGTATAAAGACTCAACATTTATATATTCAGCCTTATTTGTGGATGAACATTTTATCAGTTTAAAGCCGGAGATCTCTATTCCATTAACCTTATTTTGTACTTATTACAAACTTTAAAAATTGTGTTCTGTGGAAATACGTAGGATGCCAGTTTCTGAAGAAAATTTATTGGTTTCACGGAAGGATTTCATATAATATTCTTTACTAAATAGAATATCATCCCTTTCATAGGGTAAGTTTTACAATATATTTTTATTTTTCAGATCTTGATGTCACCATAAAGATCAGCCTTGGGAACTCTAAGCTGACAGAGCAGAGAAAGATAACCAATTGTTCAAGTATTAATGGACAACCACATTTTTTTTCGTAAGTTTATTTACAGTTGAAAAAAGAAATGTTTTTGTGTTTGTATATTTTATATCTGTAAGTAAACTTTGGTGTGAAGTTTACGTGTTTTCCTGTTGTTTCTGGAAAGTTTTCCTGCTTCTGGAAAGTGAACATTTTTCCAGAAGCAGGATTGTCAAGGTTTTTGGTTACTAACTTTCTTTTAGGCTGAATGTCTCTATATGTGCGGGTCTATATTTGTGGGTCTATATGTGCGGGTCTATATGCGCGGGTCTATATGCCAGGTCTATATGCGCGGGTCTATATGCACGGGTCTATATGCACAGGTCTATATGCGCGGGTCTATATGCGCGGGTCTATATGCGCGGGTCTATATGTATGGGTCTATATGTACGGGTCTATATGTACGGGTCTATATGTACGGGTCTATATGTACGGGTCTATATGTACGGGTCTATATGTGCGGGTCTATATGTGCGGGTCTATATGTGCGGGTCTATATGCGCGGGTCTATATGCGCGGGTCTATATGCGCGGGTCTATATGTGCGGGTCTATATGTATGGGTCTATATGTATGGGTCTATATGTGCGGGTCTATATGTGCGGGTCTATATGCGCGGGTCTATATGTGTGGGTCTATATGTGCGGGTCTATATTTGTGGGTCTATATTTGCGGGTCTATATGTGCGAGTCTATATGCGCGGGTCTATATGCGCGGGTCTATATGCGCGGGTCTATATGTATGGGTCTATATGTATGGGTCTATATGTGCGGGTCTATATGTGCGGGTCTATATGCGCGGGTCTATATGTGCGGGTCTATATTTGTGGGTCTATATGTGCGGGTCTATATGTGCGAGTCTATATGCGCGGGTCTATATGCGCGGGTCTATATGCGCGGGTCTATATTTGTGGGTCTATATGTGCGGGTCTATATTTGTGGGTCTATATGTGCGGGTCTATATGCGCGGGTCTATATGCGCGGGTCTATATTTGTGGGTCTATATGTGCGGGTCTATATTTGTGGGTCTATATGTGCGGGTCTATATTTGTGGGTCTATATGTGCGGGTCTTTATTTGCGGGTCTATATGTGCGGGTCTTTAATTGCGGTTCTATATGCGCGGGTCTACAGGTGCTGGTCATAAAATTAGAATATCATGAAAAAGTAGATTGATTTCAGTAATTCCATTTAAAAAGTGAAACTTGTATATTATATTCATACATTACATACAAACTCATATATTTCAGATGTTTATTTTGTTTAATTTTGATGATTACAAATGACAACAAATGAAAATCTCAAATTCATCATATCAGAAAATTAGAATATTGTGAAAAGGTTCAAAATTGATGGCCCCTGGTGCCACACTCTAATCAGCTAATTAACTCAAACCACCTGCAAAAGCCTTTAAATGGTCTTTCAGTCTAGTTCTATAGGCTACACAATAATGGGGAAGACTGCTGACTTGACAGTTGTCCAAAAGACGACCATCGACACCTTGCACAAGGAGGGCAAGACACAAAAGGTCATCGCTAAAGAGGCTGGCTGTTCACAGAGCTCAGTGTCCAAGCACATTAATAGAGAGGCGAAGGGAAGGAAAAGATGTGGTCGAAAAAAGTGTACAAGCAAGAGAGATAACCGCACCCTGGAGAGGATTGTGAAACAAAACCCATTCAAAAATGTGGGGGAGATTCACAAAGAGTGGACTGCAGCTGGAGTGAGTGCTTCAAGAACCACCACACACAGACGTATGAAAGACATGGGTTTCTGCTGTCGCATTCCTTGTGTCAAGCCACTCTTGAACCACAGACAGCGTCAGAAGCGTCTAAAGAGAAACAGGACTGGACTGCTGGTGAGTGGTCCAAAGTCATGTTCTCTGATGAAAGTAAATTTTGCATTTCCTTTGGAAATCAAGGTCCCAGAGTCTGGAGGAAAAGAAGAGAGGCACTTCATCCACGTTGCTTGAAGTCCAGTGTAAAGTTTCCACAGTCAGTGATGGTTTGGGGTGCCATGTCATCTGCTGGTGTTGGTCCATTGTGTTTTCTGAGGTCCAGGGTCAACGCAGCCACATACCAGGAAGTTTTAGAGCACTTCATGCTTCCTGCAGCTGACCAACTTTTTGGAGATGCAGATTTCATTTTCCAACAGGACTTGGCACCTGCACACAGTGCCAAAGCTACCAGTACCTGGTTGAAGGACCATGGTATCCCTGTTCTTAATTGGCCAGCAAACTCTCCTGACCTTAACCCCATAGAAAATCTATGGGGTATTGTGAAGAAGAAGATGCAATACACCAGACCCAACAATTCAGAAGAGCTAAAAGCCACTATTAGAGCAACCTGGGCTATCATAACACCTGAGCAGTGCCACAGACTGATCGACTCCATGCCACGCCGCATTGCTGCAGTAATACAGGCCAAAGGAGGCCCAACTAAATACTGAGTGCTGTACATGCTCATACTTTTCATGTTCATACTTTTCAGTTGGCCAACATTTCTATAAATCCTTTGTTTTTATTGGTCTTCAGTAATATTCTAATTTTCTGATATGATGAATTTGGGATTTTCATTTGTTGTCATTTGTAATCATCAAAATTAAACAAAATAAACATCTGAAATATATGAGTTTGTATGTAATGTATGAATATAATATACAAGTTTCACTTTTTAAATGGAATCACTGAAATCAATCTACTTTTTCATGATATTCTAATTTTATGACCAGCACCTGTATATGCGCGGGTCTATATGTGCGGGTCAGATTGGATGAATGGTGTGTATAAGAGAAAAACATTAGGAGAAGTTTTGGTTAAAATATGAAATAATACACCTGTTGTTTAATCAGGGATAAAATCTCTCCTGAAAGGGACTTGTTGTGCCTCGCTGTCATTAAAATGTTCTATTTTAGAAACATTGCAACTGATAATTAAATCATTGCTGAAGTTTGTGTTGTTTTTGTCTTCAGGTGCCGTCAGTGTATGAAAGCTGGATGTCAGTGGAGAGATAACCGCTGTTCCTGGTCCAGTAAACTTGCTCAGGATGTAATCATCAATTTGTCTGTTTTTGTTGAGTATTGAGTTCATCTTGTTTACTGCAATGGCCACCAGAATATGTCTTATTTAAATATCTAGTAAAATGCCTTAAACAACATGAAAGATTACTAGAATAAAAAGTTTTGTAGTTTCAGTTTATTGATTTAAAAATCTTTTTTTACAGGAACATGTTTGCATGAAGATGGAGGCTGTGATGAACATTTCTGTAAGTCTGAACCTGACTTTTTTTCACACACTGTTCTTCTCCCCACTCTCATTAATAAGACCTGGAGACACACTTCTCCAGCTGAGAACTATGCTACTCAAACTTGAAGGAGCTATTCTTCATTGATATCACATCAACACCGCTGCAAATTGCCACAGAATATACTGTACATCTTAGCCAGAGTGAAGCAGCGGAACATTCATTCTATCTATCTTTTTTGATGTGATACTTTAAAATGTACATCGGAAAAAGCTGATGGAAACGCATCCATTGAAAGCTCTACCAATCATGCAACCTCTGAATACAAAGGTGGTGAAAAATAAGCATGAAAATAAAGTTGTCTAAAACTATTAGCTTGATAATGTGCATAAGGAAGTCAGAAAAAAAGACAAAAGATATTAAAAACACAAAACATCTAAATGCAGATGAAACAGAAAAGGATCAAAAACAATTTAGGATTGAGTAGCTGATCGACTAGATGTATCTGGGACAGGCTGACAGTATAAGTATAGGTTTTTTTTTTAGGCCCCTGCTTTAATTATATTCATTATGGAAACACTAATGAGAAAATAATCCAATATAAACATCCTTTGTGTTTTCCTGTCAGGTACCAGACATCACCTCCATTACACCTCATGTTGTGTCTCTGTATGGGAAAAACCATGCTGTACTGTCAGGGCATCACCTCAGCAATGTGATTGGAGTGAGAATCCAGACAGACATCAACTGTCATTCACAGGAGTAAGTCACTCTACAGAAGATTAAAGCCATTTATGGCATCATAGTGCAATAATGCATTTATATAACTTCATATTTACTGATATACCTCTTTCTGTATGATTTCCCTTTTTTATGGCTCCATAACTACCTATAGAAAAGATCTGATTGGAAAATTCCGTAATAATTCAAAAAATATCCACTGGACTTGGTTTTCAAGATTTGAAGACGTTTCGCCACCTCTCCAGGAAGCTTTCTCAATTCAAATGTCTTAAAATCTTGAAAACCAAGTCCAGTGGATATTTTTTGAATTTTTATGGAATGACTATGACCTGGATGACTGAGAACCTTCATCAGCATCTGATTGGAAAACTAAGTTTGTCGAGTTGATGTCAGTTTGAGCATTTAAGAATGTTTTCTTACACATAATGTATACGTTCATATAAAATAAATAAAAACGAAACTAAATTTAACTAAAGTTAACAGTAATGTTTTAATTTGAAATAAAATGCGTAAAAATAGTGATTAGTTTAGATAATCTCTATCTTTCCTTCTAATTTCTATGAGCTGGTTTCAGTTTTAGTCTCATGCTCACTTTCTGTGTGTTTTACATCTTCTCTGATTAGATCTCCTGTGTGGAACAACACTGATGTCTCGTTGACCTTCCACCTTCCACCCACCGAAACCAGAAATGTGGTTGAGGTGTGTGTTCTTCTTCCAGATGGTAGCTGCCACGGAAGTGCTGCAGTCACTTATCAGTCTTCACCAGTCTGCACTGACATCGTACCACAGAGCAGCTGGAGAAGGTATTTAAACATTCTGGCAAAAAGTCTTAGTTTGCTAAAGTATAATTTGCTAAAAAAATAACCAGATAGACTTGAGACACTATAATCCAGCTAGACACAATGACTCCAGACAAGGCATTACTTAGAACTTGACCCAGGATACATGGAAAGGGGGATGGGTGTCTATGGAATGGGAAAGTTGAAGACAAACGGTGACTTGGATATGGGCTGACAAAACAAGCTGCCAAATTAAATTTCCCTTGGCATAAGGGGAGGTCTTCTGTAGACTGCCACCTGGTAGTCAAATGCATGGCTATGTTGACGATTTTATGGTTTTCTTGGCTTTTCTCCAAGTACTTTTGCACCTCAGAGACGCTGCGTGGGCTGAGGGGACCTTAGCCTCTCTTCTGAGGACCTCTATCAGAGACAATGTCACATGGGAGACAGAAAACCTTGTTAGCATGAATCTTACCCATTTCTGTGGCTGAAGGTACCTTTATGAGACGAACCAGATGAGCCACTTTGGATAATCTGTTAATAATTGTATTACTGTGAAACCGGAGGAAGGCAAGCCTGTGATATGGTCTATGGGGGTGTGGGTTATGAAATGAATTGCACTGAATAGGTAATCAGAGTTAATTTAAAACCGATTTTAGCTGGAGAGCAACTATATAAGTTAGTCGAAATGCATCATGCTATTTCTAAAACATAACAGCCAACCATCTGCAGCTCAGGGTTGCTTTTTCAGCTGAGCAATGTCTATGTTCCTATGTGGAGTTAGAGTAGCTTAGATAATCACATATTATTCAAATTTAATGTACAAATGCAGCAACAATGGCTTGCATGTGGATATGAGCTAGAACTCAGTGCTTCACATAACTTCAAAGTTGTGAAAAAAAAATGGTGTTGAGAGCTTTCACAAATAGTTGTGAAGCACCCCCACTTCCTGAGAAAACTATAAGACTAGTATTTTTATCAGCAGGGAACATATTTGAGGAAGAACAAAACTGAATGCTTTGTAGCATAATCTTTTCTGGCAGGTCTCTGCAAGTCTGCATGTCACAGTGTTGCAACCTTTACAGCTCGTATTTTGACACATTCCTTCATGCAGATCTTATCTAGAATAGTAAAGTTTCTGCGCTTTCGCTGGGCTCAATGCAGTTGACCGATATTATCAGTTTTACCCAGAGAGCCATGCTGTCTTTGCAACTGTTTGCATTCCACCCACTGTTGTTGCAGATATTGTGTGGGATGCCATCAGTTTAGTTGTTGCAAAGCTCAAAATACATCAGCCAAATGCAATAACTGGCTGTTTGAATTACTCCACATTCTCTCCTACTCTTTCATCTCTTTAATGCTATGTTTAGACTGCAAAGCAGAAGCACCAGAAGCAGCTGGTTTAGATGCAAAATCAATGGTTGACATGCATCAAGGTGCAGCAAAAGGTCCTGCAACACATTTTGAGCAGCAGGAGCAGCAGGAGCAGCACCTCAGCAGCTGCTGAAGTTGGGAAAATGTAACTTTAGCTGCTGGACATGCTTTGTGGCAATCACCTTAATCATCTGATCCTGAAGGGCAACAAAACAAGGAGATGATTAGAGATTTCAGAAGAAACAGGAACAAGTTGAATCCTGTTAACATCCTGGGAGAAGAAGAGGAGGAGGAGTAGAAATCCCTTGATGTTCACCTGGAAAACAACCTGGACTGGAGACACAACTGGGAAGCCGTCTGCAAGAAGGGACAGAGCAGACTGGACTTCTAGAGGAAGCCTAGGTCCTTCAGAGGCTGCAGATCTTCTATCAGTCTGATATGGAGAGTCTAATCTCTTCCTCCATCATCATCATCATCAGCTAATGACTGAAAGAAGCTCAACCAGCTAATAAAGAAGGTCGGCTCTGTTCTAGGAACTCCTCTAGAACCTCTGGAGATGAAGAAGAAGATGATGGACAGCAGTGAGCATCCTCTTCATCAGACTGTTAGACACCAGCAGATGGTCTTCAGTCAGAGGCTTCTGCAGATCCACTGCAGACAGACCTCTACAGGAGATCCTTCCTGCCTGCAACATCAACACATACAAAAACTGGTTTAAAAAATAACATGAGTTACTGGAATAGTTACTTTCAGTTTGGGATTATTAAAGTATTTTTTAATTGAATTCTAAGGATGCTTACTTTTTTTTACTTCTGTCTGCAAATTGTGTTTGTCTTCTGAATCTAGAGTCTCAACTAAATGTCATTATGCTTTTAAGATGACAATACATATTGTTCCCTCCAGTGGGAAGAGGAAAGTCCGGCTCATTGGGACCAGCCTGGATTTTGTGGAGGGATTGATTCAGAGCCACGTCCAACAGCAGGTGTTTCTGCCCAGGAACAGCAGCTTCCAGGTAGCTCCACAGACAAATTAAATGATAATGGCAACATTATTTATAATACCAATATATTTTACGGACAACTTTTTAATTACAAGGCACAACTTGTTATTTGAAACAATTGTTTTAGCAAAACCAGGAAGGAAAAAACAACACACATTTTAAAGCTACAGTGTGTAATAATTACAGGGATATACAGTCAGAAATGTAATATATTATACATAACTATGTTATTTATCATCATCTACGAGCTCAGCCTCTTAACCTTAATATTTGCGTTGCCTTAGAATTCGTTATTTATAATTACATAGGAGCGGGTCTCGCAGCCATGGAGGCAGAGATCTTTGCGCTACGGCAGCGCAGAGCCAACAAACTAGCGATTGCGAGATCGCCAAAACGTCACAACGATGTAGAAAAAATAACGGGTATATTTATTATCTTAAGTCTACATGAAATCTATACCCTACACAGACTAATGAAATACTATCTGTAAAATTATCTATGTAAACAAACCTCATCACTTGAGAAGGTAGGTGATGCGGACGTCGTGGAAGACATTTTGTGCCGTAACGCTCGCCGTACTGTTGGGGGGGAGAAGCGGTGGGGGGGGGATGTTCATGTTGCTGCGGTCTGCAGTCTGACCGCTAGATGTCGCTAAAAGTTACACACTGTAGCTTTAAAAAGAAATTTTAAAAAGAAATATATGTAAAAAATAAAAAACAAAAACAAATTTAAGAGAAGGTAGTAATTCAAAAAATCTAAATGAAGGCTTCTATATTGAGTATGAACTCAGTATAGAGTTTTGTTTTCTCTGCATAAAAGTAAAATGATCATTTTATTTCTCGCATATGAGGCCAAGAGGGAACGGTTAAAGAATAAATGAAAGGTGGCCTAACATTGAGTCCTGGGGAACACCAGCAGAAACAATAACTCTGGTCAAACTATGGATTTCAATAAAAAAAACAAAAAAAAAAACGTTAATTTAATCCGGCTCTATTGTGCTATACTGTTTTATTTTTTTGTGCTTCATCAAACTCTGAATATTCTTTTACCTTTTTTCTCCAGATTCTCACTTTTGAAAGCCGTGCAGCAGAAAACGCGCAGACTAGCAGCAGCGCCATATTCATGAAGGTTGCCAATCAAACGCTGCCCTGTTTGCTGAAACTAACCTACCATCCTGATCCCAACTTTACAGGCTTCACGACCAAGAGAATCGGAAATGACACCCGCATTATTATTCACGTAAGGTTTTTAATATATCCTTTTTTTAAAGGATACATTTTTTCATAAAAGGTGCCATTTTGCATCTGTTTTTTTTTCAGAAAAGTTGTGATAAACTAGAGATGTCAGCAGCAGAGGTGTTAGTGTGGGGCATTCAGGACACAAAGCAACTTCCCTGCATCTTGGAAGTCGAGGAAAACAGTAATAAAACAGACTTTATCTGTGAAATCAGAGGAGTTCAGAATACTAACATTAAGCAGATAAAGGGTAAATTTTAATGCTTTTTTCATAATTTAGGATCTTTTTTTACACATCTTTGGGTTATTAATTTAAATAATTTTGTTGTTGATTTGTTTAGTTAATTTTTAGAGCTAATGTTTATTTAGACTTTTCCAGAATTTATTTTTTTCATGTTTGTGCATTTTTTTATATTTAGTTTTCTAATTATTCATGTGTTCACTTTTATCAGACTATTCTCACTTAGATTATCTCCTTATTCTCTTTATTCACTTTCATCTTGTCCCATTTTACATTTATCCAGACCCCGGCCACCAGTTTCACACTAGTCAGTTATTTTTGTTTTCACCTTTGTCACTTTCTTATTTAGTTCATATTGTTTGTGACGTCATGACCTTTACCTCACAGTAGCTCTGTTGAATTTAGCTTTATAAATCTCTATGAATATAATGTTTCAGATTAAAAATGGTGACACAACAGTGTTGATGCAGCCTCTGTCTTCATTGCATGAAGGCCTTTTGATTCTGCATTTCCTTCTCAAAGGCTCTATTCTTACTGGTAAGTTTTCTAAAGCTCTCTAAGCTTAATAGACAACTTTTCCAAAAACACTTTTCTCTATGTGTCAAAGTGATTAAAATACCATCAAGGACGGATTTTTTTCTCCATGTTATTAACCCTTTCATGCATAGTGGTCACTACAGTGGACAGTTATTAAATGGTTGTTTTCTCTTAAATGAACATGTTTTAATGTCACATTTGCACATATGTTACTACAGTGGACGCTAATGTATCATCCTGCCACTTGTCAAACTGCCACCTACTCCTCAGCCTTTGCAAGTGACTTTTTTTTCCTCAAAAAAAACAAAATGGCTGACAGAGGAGCACATGGGTTGTGAGGGAGAGGAATATCTGCTCATTCCTTCTATTCTAGGCGATCCTTGCAGGTAAAAAAAAATATGGGGCCATCAAGTAACAATAGTTTTCTTTAAAACAAAACAAAACAAGGTTATATCAGTTGCACAAATGCGCATTGTCCACCCAAGTGGACATGTTACCAACTCCCTAAAGAAAGTATATTTTTAAAAAAAATTTATGAAAATGTTTTTTTCATTCATAAAGAGTAATAAAAACACTTGGTAAAAAAATCATAACATATACTATCGTAATTCATGCATGAAAGGGTTAATAAAGTTTAATTTTTTCCAACCCTTATTTTCTTTCAGTGATGGTGGTTCTCTATGTGCAGCAAAAGAGGAACCAGTCCTTTCTTTAGCGACTGAGTCGCTCCCCATAAATATGCCAGGATTCTCTGCAGCGTCGTGAAGAGAGAAACAATAATTTATATCCTGTGATTAGAAATCCATCACCCGTTAGACTAAATGAGACATTTAAAATTAGAGAACATGACAGAAATCTATGGACTGGAAACTAATTCAGGAGTGAAGAGACATTTCTATTGGTCTGCATAAACATTTATTAGCAGCTAATTTTTATTGGTCAGGAGCAAATGTTTTAGGATTCGACGCTTTCTGGACTCTTTGGTTCTGTTTAAGTTCTGCTTTATTTGATGTTAACCTGTGTTTGTAAAAATTTTGATCATTTTTGAAGCCATAGTTTTACTCTCCCTTTCACTTTCTCTTTTCAGCATTTTTGGTATTATTTAGTCTTTGCTCTAATTTTAGTTGTACTCAGTTTTATTTCCTTTAGCTTTAAGTTCTTTCCTAGTTACAGACAGATCCTATTTTCCCTGGTTTTTCTTTACTGCCCCCTGGTGTCCCGTTTCTTTCCTCTTTGCACCTTTCTATTTGCTCCTGTCCACACCTGCTCCCTATTACCCCTTGCTCACACTGGCTCCGGTGCGGTTACCGAGCCGATGGAGACCGCAACTCCCGCACACCCCCCCTCACACCGCCCTTTTGACTACGGTGCGGTGCGGCTCTGCGGCTCCGGTAACAGGTCTGGAGATTTAACAGAAGTTCACTTGAGTTCACGTAACTTCACGCGATAACACGGCCCAATTAAGGATATTTGCGAGAGCTTGTTGCGGAAGGCTCCGGCACGCCGCAAGGATAGCTTTCTTGCGGAATTTTCTGCAGCGCCGGAGTGTCTCGGTAACCGCAGCCGGACAGCTCAGCAGCCGGTGAGAGAGGTTTACGTCTTTTTAATGACTTGGAATCACTGCGGCGCCGCACCCACCGCACCGCAACGGTAAGACCGGAGTCGGTGTGAGCCTGGGGTTAAGCTAATTAGCCCATGCATTGTTTGTTTCTCCCATATAAACACCTCCTGTGCAGTTCCTCTGTGCTGGATTCTCTTCATTTTGTACACATGTTCCTCCTGAGTGTCTCCTAGTTTTGGTTTCTAAATTCCCCGCCTGTTCAGTCTGGATTAATGCTTCTGTTGCCAGAAACCTCACTATTAAACCTACAAGAGAGAAACCATCTCTGCTTCTGTCTCTGCATCCACCGAACTTTATAGACTGTGTGGTTTGAAATGCAGAGAATGTAATCTGTGAAACTCAGTCTGAAAAACAGTAATAACAAAAAAAGAATGAATTAAAAAAGTATAAATTTAATTTGATAAAAAATGAACAATTTGGATTTGAAAAATTTACATTTGTAAAAGTTGAAAACAAATACTTGATTAAATTATTACTTGAAACAATAATGGAACAAATTTCACTCCATACACACCAAGGCAGTCCTGGCCACATAGTTTCATCAACATCACAGCAAATGTCTCCTCTAATGGAGGCTCTGCAGGACTCTGCTGTGATGTCATCACATGCTGCATCCATGGTTGCTAGCAGTCCATTTAGGTATGAGCATGGCGGTTAAATACGTTCCAATTTCAGGGTAGAAAAACTCTCCGATTTAATAATCGGGAGTAGAGAGAGGGATATTCCATCAGCTTCCAATTATGTAATGCAGGCATCCCCAAAGTCGGTCCTGGAAGGCCGCTGTCCTGCAGGTTTTAGAGGTTTCCCTTTACCAGCACAGCTGATTTCCATTGATAGCTGATTATCAGGTGTTTGCCAAACTGCAGTCATCAGAATCATGAGCTAAATGCAGAGAAACCTTTAAAACCTGCAGGTCATAGAGGACCGACTTTGGGGATGCCTGATTTAATGCATAGTACTGCCAAACAACATCTGAGTGGTGAAAATTCAAATGCAAACAACGGGATACATGTTCAGGTGATCAAAGTTGCCCTCTCATTCTGACTACAGGTTCAATGTCACTTTGTATGTAATGATTCAAGCAATAAAGCAATTACTATTAGGTTTATAGAGAATGACTGTACAGCATTCAGAGGTATTCTTAGTTTTGATCAGAGATGGGAAGTAACGAAGTACAAATACTTTGTTACTGTACTCAAGTAGATTTTTCTGATATTTTTACCTTACTTTACTACTTATTTTTATGGCGACTTTTTACTTCTACTCCTTACATTTTAAAAATTGGCTCGTTACTTTAGTTTTGAATCATTTCAATGGAGTTACCGTTATTATTTTTCACGTCATCAATACCAAATTTGATCTAATTGGATGGGAATCTACGTTGCATTTGACGCACCACTACAAGATGAATCAACAGATTCGGCGGTATTCATTGGCGGCAAATCATTGCAGCTTGGTGGCGGTGGCGTTAGCATAGTATGGACGACGAGATGATTGAAAATGAACACAACGGAGATCTAGTCCTATTGGCAGACATCCATTTAAAATGTAGGCAACGGCATGAAAAAAGTGGTTTCTACTTTTACTTTTATACTTTAAGTAAATTTACAAGCCTGTACTTTGTTACTTTTACTTGAGTAAAGAAGTTTAATCAGTACTTCCACTTTTACCAGAGTATTTTTAACACAAGTATCTGTACTTTTACTCAAGTACGGAAAGTGAGTACTTTTGCCATCTCTGGTTTTGATTGACAAATATGCTAATGAGAAGGTTAGAAAAGAGCAAAGAGTTGTTTGTAAGAAGGTGATGCAACTTGATAAGCATTTATACACTATATTGCCAAAAGTATTTGCTCACCCATCCAAATTATTGGAATCAGGTGTTCCAATCACTTCCATGGCCACAGGTGTATAAATTCAAGCACCTAGGCATGCAGACTGTTTTTACAAACATTTGTGAAAGAATGGGTCGCTCTCAGGAGCTCAGTGAATTCCAGCGTGGAACTGTGATAGGATGCCACCTGTGCAACAAATCCAGTCGTGAAATTTCCTCGCTCCTAAATATTCCACAGTCAACTGTCAGCTGTATTATAAGAAAATGGAAGTGTTTGGGAACGACAGCAACTCAGCCACGAAGTGGTAGGCCACGTAAACTGACGGAGCGGGGTCAGCGGATGCTGAAGCGCATAGTGCGAAGAGGTCGCCAACTTTCTGCAGAGTCAATCACTACAGACCTCCAAACTTCATGTGGCCTTCAGATTAGCTCAAGAACAGTGCGCAGAGAGCTTCATGGAATGGGTTTCCATGGTCGAGCAGCTGCATCCAAGCCATACATCACCAAGTGCAATGCAAAGCGTCGGATGCGGTGGTGTAAAGCACGCCGCCACTGGACTCTAGAGCAGTGGAGACGCGTTCTCTGGAGTGACGAATCGCGCTTCTCCATCTGGCAATCTGATGGACGGGTCTGGGTTTGGCGGTTGCCAGGAGAACGGTACTTGTCTGACTGCATTGTGCCAAGTGTAAAGTTTGGTGGAGGGGGGATTATGGTGTGGGGTTGTTTTTCAGGAGCTGGGCTTGGCCCCTTAGTTCCAGTGAAAGGAACTCTGAATGCTTCAGCATACCAAGACATTTTGGACAATTCCATGCTCCCAACTTTGTGGGAACAGTTTGGAGCTGGCCCCTTCCTCTTCCAACATGACTGTGCACCAGTGCACAAAGCAAGGTCCATAAAGACATGGATGACAGAGTCTGGTGTGGATGAACTTGACTGGCCTGCACAGAGTCCTGACCTCAACCCGATAGAACACCTTTGGGATGAATTAGAGCGGAGACTGAGAGCCAGGCCTTCTCGTCCAACATCAGTGTGCGACCTCACAAATGCGCTTCTGGAAGAATGGTCAAAAATTCCCATAAACACACTCCTAAACCTTGTGGACAGCCTTCCCAGAAGAGTTGAAGCTGTTCTAGCTGCAAAGGGTGGACCGACGTCATATTGAACCCTATGGATTAGGAACGGGATGTCACTTAAGCTCATATGTGAGTCAAGGCAGGTGAGCAAATACTTTTGGCAATATAGTGTATGTGCAGAGCTGTCGAGTAACGAAGAACAAATACTTTGTTACTGTACTTAAATACACTTTTTAGGTATCTATACTTTACTCCATTACTTATTTTTCCTCCTACTTCTGACTTCTACTCATAACATTTTCACACAAATATCTGTACTGTATATATATATGTGTATATATATATATACATATATATATATATTTGCTGAGATATTTGAGGAAATGGCTTGGCTTTAAGAGACCAAAAACGTCTTAAACGAACAGGTAAATGCTGTTATTTTAGAGGAATACATGGTGGATACTTGCAGATCTTTCTTCAAATGAGTCTGTGTTTTTCAGTGAACTTGCAAATGTTCTCACTTCACGGTCTGCAAACGAGTGCACCACAGCTGTGTGCTGGCAGCAAACCACAGACTCTGCTGTTCATGTGCTAGTTACATCTTGTGAACTGGGTGAAAGTTCCCTTCTTGGAAAAACCCTGGTGAATTGCATTGTCGCACTTTTGTTTTTGTCACTAAATTGACAATAAATATCGGCCTTTGGGGGGCGCTGTCCTGCAGGTTTTAGAGGTTTCTCTGCTCCAGCAGCTGATTCTGATGATTGCAGTTCAGCAAAAGCCTGTTAATCAGCTGTCAATGGAAACCAGCTGTGCTGAAGCTGGAAAACCTCTCAAATCTGCCAACTTTGGGCCTAAACTCAGTGATACTTACTGGGCCCTAGTTGCATTTTTAGTTGCATTGATTTTTGTGGTTTATGGGCTTTTAATGTTTGGCATTTTCTGTTTTTTTATTTATTGGACGTCCCTTTGCTTGGCTGACTGACTGTTTCTAACTTAATCAAGTTCCCTGAGCCTGCGATAAAGAGAAGGTGCAGAAGTTCTCGTTTAATCTTTATCATTGTAAGATTTTTTTTTTACCACTTTAGAATTTAATTTGTTTTATGATGAAATTGAAGAAATAATCAAGAAGCTGTTTTCAATTCTATTTATGGTTTATTTAAAGCTGTTTCACAAATGTAGGTCAGGGCCAGACGAGCCTGATCATTGGCTCTGTATCTCTGCCATAATGGCTCAAATGAAGTATCTCTGTAGAATCTGCAGCCAATCAGTAGCAAAGATCCGATCCAGGCCTTTAATCCTAATCTGTGTTTAAACTTCTGTTATAAAATTGGCTGCTGCATTCTAAATAAATCAGCAATGATTTCTCTAACCCTAATCCAAAGCATTACAGAACCCAACCCAGATGTAACGGTGGTTTTTAAAATCCAACTGGCTGCAAATTTTGAATTATTCTAATGAGCCTGCTCTGAATGTTTGAATAAAGTAGATTAAATAAGTTGCTGAAACATCGTATTGCTGCTGTGAGGAACATTTGAACACCCTGCTATTTTGCAAGTTTTCCCACTTAGAAATCATGGAGGGTCTGAAATTGTCATTGTAGCTGCATGTGCACAGTTAGACATAATCTAGAAAGAAAATCCAGAAAATACAATGTTTAATTTTTAAACTATTTATTTGTATGATTCAGCAGCAAATATTTGAACACCTGAGAAAATCAATTTGGTCCAGTAGCCTTTTTTTCCAGAGATCAAAGGTTTCCTCTAGTTTTTCACCATGTTTGCACTGCAGGAGGGATTTTGGCCCACTCTAGATCTCTAGATCAGTCAGGTTTCTGGGCTGTAGCTCCCTCAAAAGATGCTCTATTGGGTTTAGGTCTGGAGACCGCACCAGAACCTAGATCATCTTCTTCCAGAGCCGTTCCTTGGTTATCCTGGCTGTGTGCTTCGGGTCATTGTGATGCTGGAAGACCCAGCCTCCACCCATCTTCACTGCTCTGAGGAAAGGAGGTCTGTCTTAAATTGGCAAAAAATAACAATCAGGTGGAAAATGAATATTAGTGTTCTGCTTTTGAGGCATTTTGTTTCTCCAGAAGCACAGAAGAAAAACGAAGAATTCAATTTGAATTCAGAGACATCGGATGAGGTAGATGAAAGGTAATTAATAGATGCATCAATAATAAATGTGATTTCTACTTTTTATATTGAATAGAAATAAAAAAGAAAATATATATTTTAACAGGAGCAAATTAAAGTAATTCATTGAATCATCAGCTGAATATAAAACGAAAAATATGACGAATTAATGACCTTTTTTTAATCAAGGAAATTTCTCTGCAATGATTTTCCAGTTATGATATTTTCAAGTTAAATCAAACATACATAAAAAAAAAATACCTTTAAAACCATTTCAATGACGTCACTGGGGCTGGACAGTCGCACCATATATGGTAGCCTGTACCTATGATGTTTTAATGGCTATGGCGCCCCCTAGCGCCTCTACTACATCCTGGAGGCGCGCAGGAAGTCAGCGGTAAATCCTTCTGCTTTTTTCTCACTATTGTGAAAAAACTTTCTACTTTAATGAGCAGAAAAAAAAACGATCTGAGCTTCTGTTGTTTTTTTTCTTCCTAAATTCTCGCTTTATGTCCCATTTAATTATATATCTAATAAATGATTTATTGTTTGTTTGCGGGGTTTTTTAAGCCTTTCGTGGGTGCTGACTTTCATTTTCGGTTCCGCTCATTTCCTTTTACTTCCGTTAGTTTTTCTTGTCAGTTGAGCTGCAGGTTTTACCTGCATCTCTGCAGAGACTCTGAGTCAAAGCAAGATGATCCTGCTGCTGGTTCTGCTTTGCTCCATCTGGGGAGAACCTGCTCTGGCTCTGGAGAAGAGCAAAGCTTTCAGTTTAGGAGGAGACCTCCAGCAGCTCTCAGTGAGCCATGACTCTGTTTACATCTCTACAGAGGAGAAGCTTTACCAGCTGAGCCACGACCTGACTGTGATCCACAGCCTGAACCAGAGAGGGATCCTAAAGAACCCGGGTCAACTGAACGGAGAGGAGTTTCATCGGGTCTCAATGGATGCTGCCTGGAATACAACTTTCACCATAAATGTTTTATTACCTTTTGTGAACAATGGGACATTGATCATCTGCGGTGGGACAGACAAAGGCTGTGGTTACTGTGAGGTTCTGGACCTGAGGGACATCTCTAAGCTGGTGTTCAGAGAACACATCCAGGTGGGACCTCTGAGGAACAGCAGAGGTTCTGTCAGCTTTCTGGTGGACGTGAAGAAGGATTCAGGTCAGACTGAGACGTACATCCTGACCGCCATCCAGAAACAAGAGGAAACCAAGTGTCCATCTGACTTAAAGACAATCAACCTTCAAAACACAGATCAGAAACAGTCTGGGGGGATATTTGCTTTGTCTGAAGAAGGAGAAACACCTGGAATCCAAACTGAAGTTGATGTAGATTTTGTGGATGGATTTCAGATCAACTCAACAGTGTTTCTGTTCTCCAACGTGGCATCAGGAGCTAAAACCAACAAAGTCCGCCTGATTTGGCTTCAGGCTGAAACCAGTAAAGCTCAGACTCTAAAGTCTCTTGGTGGAGCGACTCTCAGTAGCTCTGATGGAGGTGAAGGCAGCAGACTGCTGGCCTCCTCGCTCATCCCAGGAGGACAGCAGGTCCTTTGGAGCGGAGTGTTCAGTTTGGATGGAGGAGAGACCAACACTGAGCTGCTGCTGTTTGACATCAGTCCTGATCAGAGCAGGACAACAGGCACCGATCCAGACTTCTATTACTCATCAAACAAGCCTAACAAGCCGGTAGGTCGCTGGATTTAACTAAACCCCCTGATGATGTTTTTATTCAGTCCTAAATGACTGAAAATACAGCACTCATTTACAGATTCTGCAAACTGATCATTTTAAATCATCTACAGTTCGACACTACAGCAGCAATAAGTTATGCAATGCATAATGTGCAATTACTGTTTAAAAACCTTGGCAATAACCTGTTTATATTTCACAGCTCTCTCTCTCTCTCTCTGTCTGTATGTGGGTGTGTGTGTGTAAATACCCTGTGCAATAACCTGGTATGATCTTGCTATAAAAAAAATAAAACACTATTATGTGAATGCATTCTACATAGTGTACAGGTGCTGGTCATAAAATTAGAATATCATGAAAAAATAGATTGATTTCAGTAATTCCATTTAAAAAGTGAAACTTGTATATTATATTCATACATTACATACAAACTCATATATTTCAGATGTTTATTTTGTTTAATTTTGATGATTACAAATGACAACAAATGAAAATCTCAAATTCATCATATCAGAAAATTAGAATATTACTGAAGACCAATAAAAACAAAGGATTTATAGAAATGTTGGCCAACTGAAAAGTATGAACATGAAAAGTATGAGCATGTACAGCACTCAGTATTTAGTTGGGCCTCCTTTGGCCTGTATTACTGCAGCAATGCGGCGTGGCATGGAGTCGATCAGTCTGTGGCACTGCTCAGGTGTTATGATAGCCCAGGTTGCTCTAATAGTGGCTTTTAGCTCTTCTGAATTGTTGGGTCTGGTGTATTGCATCTTCTTCTTCACAATACCCCATAGATTTTCTATGGGGTTAAGGTCAGGAGAGTTTGCTGGCCAATTAAGAACAGGGATACCATGGTCCTTCAACCAGGTACTGGTAGCTTTGGCACTGTGTGCAGGTGCCAAGTCCTGTTGGAAAATGAAATCTGCATCTCCAAAAAGTTGGTCAGCTGCAGGAAGCATGAAGTGCTCTAAAACTTCCTGGTATGTGGCTGCGTTGACCCTGGACCTCAGAAAACACAATGGACCAACACCAGCAGATGACATGGCACCCCAAACCATCACTGACTGTGGAAACTTTACACTGGACTTCAAGCAACGTGGATGAAGTGCCTCTCTTCTTTTCCTCCAGACTCTGGGACCTTGATTTCCAAAGGAAATGCAAAATTTACTTTCATCAGAGAACATGACTTTGGACCACTCACCAGCAGTCCAGTCCTGTTTCTCTTTAGACGCTTCTGACGCTGTCTGTGGTTCAAGAGTGGCTTGACACAAGGAATGCGACAGCAGAAACCCATGTCTTTCATACGTCTGTGTGTGGTGGTTCTTGAAGCACTCACTCCAGCTGCAGTCCACTCTTTGTGAATCTCCCCCACATTTTTGAAGGGGTTTTGTTTCACAATCCTCTCCAGGGTGCGGTTATCTCTCTTGCTTGTACACTTTTTTCGACCACATCTTTTCCTTCCCTTCGCCTCTCTATTAATGTGCTTGGACACTGAGCTCTGTGAACAGCCAGCCTCTTTAGCGATGACCTTTTGTGTCTTGCCCTCCTTGTGCAAGGTGTCGATGGTCGTCTTTTGGACAACTGTCAAGTCAGCAGTCTTCCCCATGATTGTGTAGCCTATAGAACTAGACTGAAAGACCATTTAAAGGCTTTTGCAGGTGGTTTGAGTTAATTAGCTGATTAGAGTGTGGCACCAGGGGCCATCAATTTTGAACCTTTTCACAATATTCTAATTTTCTGATATGATGAATTTGAGATTTTCATTTGTTGTCATTTGTAATCATCAAAATTAAACAAAATAAACATCTGAAATATATGAGTTTGTATGTAATGTATGAATATAATATACAAGTTTCACTTTTTGACGTGAAAAATAATAACGGTAACTCCATTGAAATGATTCAAAACTAAAATAACGAGCCAATTTTTTAAAATGTAAGGAGTAGAAAGTACAGATATTTGTGTAAAAATGTAAGTAGTAAAGTAAAAATATCAGAAAAATTTACTTGAGTACAGTAACGAAGTATTTGTACTTAGTTACTTCCCATCTCTGCCTATAAATATACAGTCTGTTACAATCACCCTTTTTTAATTGTATCTAAACTTTATTGTGTTCAGTTTTCATCATCACTGCATCAGTTTCCAAACCCGCCGTTATGCAAACTGAATCTTCTCTGTTTCTCAGTCAGAAGCTGCGGCTCTGAAACCAAAGGCGAAGCTTTTTAGGAAGAACCACATGAGCTCAGTTCTGGCCGTCAGGCTGGACGGCTGGATGGTTTTCTTCATTGGAACGACGGATGGACAGCTCATCAAGGTGTGTAGAAAAGAAAAAATCTGTTCCACCAAATAAAGAAACATTGAATTCTAAAGTTGTCCCTATTTTTATGAACTAGAGATGCATCAAAGTGAAATGCCAAACTGTTGAATTACTTTGACTCTTAAAGGACAAACACATGCAATATCTTTACATGGATTTTTATCTGTCTACTTGTTAAGGAACATTACTTTCCAAGCATTAACGTAGCATAATACCACCACCCCCATGTTTTATTGCAGGGACACTCTTCTATATGTGTGCAGTATTTATTTATTTGAATAGGGACAAAGCACATTAATGAACATCAGTATAAAACAAATGTAAATATGCCGGATTATAGCTACAAAGCTAGTTTTCATCCGGATGAAAACTAGTATGGCTTTCCTTCCTCCTGTAGTATTTGTTTCGTCTAACAAGAGGACATCCTTCACATGCTGGCTGTGTTCTCTGCAAACTGACCTCCTGATGGTCCACTTTCAGTATTAGCTTTGATATTGACATGTTTCTGTCCAGGTCCTGTGAAAAAAAACCTGTCAGCAGATTCCCTATTCACTCTACATTGGATTTCTGCTGCACGTGTCACTTTAATTCACGTTAATTTAGAACAGGGCATTTATACGCTATTATGATCAATGGTAAAGAAAGCCCAGCGTGTTTTCTGACTATTTTCATTCTCCATGACATCATTGTCTATTTTTATTGTCTTTATGTCTATAAACATCTAGGAATGAGATCTCAGTGATGATAGTGAAGGTTTGCCTAATTGCAGTTTACAGTTTGAAATGTCTAATGTCCCATAATGATTGAACCGTCTAGATGATGTAAAATTATAGTTTTATTGGTTTATTGATGCATTGTTAGAATTGTGTCGATTCTTTATCATTGATTAAGATGTGGGACGTTAATGGAATGCGTTAGCTGTTGTCGTCCGTCCATCCGTCCATCCATCTCTTAACTAAATGCTGTAACTGTAACCTACATTATTGTTGTTGTTAGCTTGCCGTAGACAGGAACTATCAGCCCGCCTGTCCAAAGATCCTCTACAGAACCAGTGGAGACAACAGAGTGTTTCCTAAAATCCATCTGGATCCAGTAGATCAGAGTTATGTTTATGCTGCGTTTAAAAACCAGGTAGATTGGAGTTTTTTCATGGGAAGTTTCTCTGTGTTGAATGTTAAGGTGTGTCTGAAACATGGTGCTCTGTTCCAGGTGAAGCACGTTCCGGTCTCAAACTGCGGCGCTCACCAAAATGTGAAGGATTGTCTTTCTGCACAGGATCCATTCTGTGTCTGGTGTTTGACTGAAAAAAGGTCCGATAAACTCCACCTGCTGCTGAATCCTTTAGGTAGATCTGAACCTCCTGATGACTCTTTTAAAATGTTTCAGATGTACATTTAAAGACAAATGCAAAGATGGAGATTGGTTTTCCATCCCTGATGAATCCAAGCAGAAGTTAGTTTCTCATATAGTCATGCAGGACTCCACAGGAGAGGTGAGTTATTAGTTAATTACTGTCTGTGTTCAGATGGAACCACCAGTTATTTGTCTCCTTTATTTCTTCTTCTCTCAGATCAAACTTATCATTCAGACACATCTGACCCTGAAGCAGACGGTTCCGCCTAGATTCGCCTGTCAGTTCTCATCCTCCATCCACCAACTTTTCAAAGAAACTGGACCACCACCTCAGTACCCACGATGCACCCGCATTCTAAACAACTCCTCTCCTCCTGATGGTCAGTGCTGGCCATTAATATTTTAAACCAATTGTTCAGTTTTTTTTGTTGTTTTTTTATTACTAATGTTGGATTTACAGATGTGGATGTTGATATAAAGATCAGACTTGGAGGAACAATCCTGGAAGACCAAATAAAGTTGTCCAACTGTTTAAATATCACTGGGGAGGCAAGTCTTCACCTGTAAGTTTGGCAACGTCTTAAGATACACATTTAATACTTTTCTAAATATGTAACTGCAATAGAGTGAAAAATTAAACCAAACTTGACATAAACATGAATATAAAATGAAGAGTCATACAGCAGCTGTCCTCAAGAACTGAGGACAGCTGCTGTAAGATTGTACAATACTGTAGAGCAGAGGTCACAGATTAGCGGACCGTGGTCCGGATCCAGACCCAACCTGATTTAAAACATTTATAAATTACTGCATTTATTCCAACGACAGTGTCTCACTTCACTTGCTCCTCTTCTCCTGTTAATACGGTAAAGCCCTGGGAGCGTCCGGCTCCAGGCTGCACGTGATCCAAATGAGCCAATGAGCTGTCAGTCTGGGTTGCTGCTGCTGCTACTTTTAGACACAGCAGGCAAACCTGTGGCAAGCCGGGCGATGGGAAAGAAGGAGAAGACCATGAGAAAAAGAGAGCAGAGAAAGTGTGGACTGCTGGAAGAACTGCGGTGAACTGGTGAAAGAAAAGTGAAATGGCGTGCTCAAAGATGACCCTGCACATTTAGAGGATGTTTGGCTCAACCTGCTGCTGTGAAGCAGGATTCTCCACCATGAACAGAATCAACAATAAATCTGGATCCAGGCTCAAAATGAGCTCCTTGATATGTGCTTGAGAATGGCTTAGTCTCTGGTTAAACCCAGGTTTAAAGCCTTGCAGGGCAGCCTAAAGCCCACTGCCAACATTAAGACAGAAAAAAGAAAAAACATAACAAACCATCAGTTCAGGGGTTTGATAAAATATGGGAATCAGGAAATTATCTATAAACCAAACTGAACGATTGTTGTTCTCTACTTGAAAAATAACTTTAGATTTTAAAATGGAAAAATGTTCTACTTGTTCTATGTTTTTTTTATTTAAAAAGTAAATGTATAACATGGATGCATAAAAACTCATTTTATTTCAGTGTTAAATTCTGTTTAAAGTAACTGTTTATTATAATAAAAAATGTCTCTGGATCTTTACTGGTTGATGATTTTCATTATTCGGACCCGCTGGTTTTTAATTGGTCACCGCTGCAGTAGAGGGAGACCTAGACGATACAGACATTAATCAGAGTTTTGTGATTATTGCCATTATTGAAGATCATGGCATCAATACTGTAAAACACTGTTTAGATGTTTCTAGGCTTATATTCTATGTCCAGGGTTCCAGAGTGGATGGAGCCTGTTTGGTCACCCATGTGACCCAGTTGGTCAGTAGTGCAATTCAAAATAATCTGAGATCGCACCAATGCAACCAGCTGTTGAAAATAAAGAAGAAAGTTAAGATGAGCCTTAGTGGGGACTCTATTTATTATCTATTTGTTCCTAAAATAAAGTGTTTTACTTCTGTGACGGTTTTCAGGTGTCAGCGGTGTATCAGAGCCGGCTGCGGATGGAGACAGAACCGCTGCTCCTGGGCCACTGATCCAGTCCAGAATGTAATAATGGCTCAGATCTGCATCTTAAACATCACATTTTTTAAATAAACCTCTTTTGTACTTTTTAACTCTTGGATTTATTAAACTGGGCTAAAAACAGCCTCACAGGATGATGAGATCTGTTCACCTCTTTCTTCCTGTAGGAAAGCATTTGTGAAAACATGGAGTTTAAGAAAATCTTTTCTGTGAGTCAAATTTTTAGCTGATCTGTTTGCTCATTTATACACTTTGAATATGAGTTGTAGGTCTTGTGTAACAGCTGCTTTTTCCGTGTTCCCTTAGAACCCAGAGATCTCCTCCATTTCTCCCAGCGTTGTGTCTTTCTATGGCAGAAATCATGCTGTGCTGTCGGGTCATAACCTCAGAGATGTGACCAGAGTCAGGATTCAGGACAACATGGGCTGTGATCCAAAGGAGTGAGTCGTTTTATACTTTACTGCTGACAGAATGACGTTTTTCTTCTGAAATGTTTTTGGAAAAGTGACTTCCAGTGTTGTTTTTCTTTGGAAAACAAAGATTGCCTCCTTATATATCTACATTTAAAGTCTTGTAAAAAAACAAAGCCATCCAGTTGGTAGAGCTTACTCCCTCCTGGAGGATGCTAATGAGTGAAAGACAGCAGGCTGGAGAACTCACATTTCCTATGAAAGTGGGAAACAGGGGCTTCTTGGGTCCTCAAATGTTGTGTCTGCCCTGCAGCATTGGATGCACTGCAGCAGGGAGACGGAAGTCATCAAAGAACTGATGGAGGTAGAGAATAGCAGCTCCTTGCTGATGAGAGAAGATAGGAGTTGGGGTCTAGATTAGAGATGTCCCGATCCAGGTTTTTGCACTTCCGATCCGATACCGATATTGTTTTTGGACTTCCGATCCGATACCGATACTGGCCGATACCAGCCTATCCGAGCATGTATTTAAGTTTAAGTTAAAGTATTTAGCCTTAGTTGTAAGACTCATGTTGAGAAGGGTTTTAGTACTCTTGATAACATCTAGCCAGCTAAATTAGGTGAGATTAAATAAAACACAATGCTTGGTAACAACAAACTTACCTGTTTATTAAGAGATCAACACAAACTGGACAAAATTATGAATAGCAATCTGAAATTGCACAGTGAGCAGTAAAACCGTAAACAGTTAAAGGTGCTATATTACTGTAAGTTTTAATAAAAATGCAAAACAGGGAAACACTGGCGCAAAATAGTGGAATGGATCGTTTCAATCGGCGAAACTGGAAAATACGGACCGGATTTTTAAAAAAAACTGGATCGGCATTTTACATGCTTTGCCGATACGCATTTTTTTTGCCAATATCGGTGTCCCGATCCGATAAGACAAGCCTAGTCTAGATAACAGAAAAGTTGGTTTCCTCTTCTGAGGCTTCTAAAGATACCATTAAAGACACAAACTATTATAATCTTCTTCCTGAAGGCCAATAAAAACCTGCAGGACTGATGCTTGCTTCTATTTCAACAATCAGGAGGAAACAGGAAAAACTGCCTTAATCTTCTGCTTAACTATGTCCTTATGCGCCCCTTATGGGATAGAAGTACAGTAGATTTGGGAGTTTTCTATTTTATTGCTCAAAAGAAAATACATTTTCACATCTATAAAATTCTGTTATTTTTTTTTTAAGTTTTGATTTAAAGTAGACAGCTACAAGTTCAACTCCTGGCCAGTAGGTGGTACATTTTCTCGATTTCCTTCACTTGTACTTCCGTGGGTCAATTGTTGTCAGTAAGTTGCCAGCATTTTCAATTTAATTCAGTTTATTTCTATAGAGCCTATTAACATCATGTCATCTCAGGTCACTCTATAGAGACGATTCAACCAGATTATCCAGTCAGATTGATTCAAAGTTTTCTATCTAAGGAAAACAAGGTGATTGCATGGACTCATTGACTATTCAGCAATCCCTCACACTAAGCATGCTTGTAGCGACAGTGGAGAGGAAAAACTCCCTTTGAACAGGAAGAAACCTCCAGCAGAACCAGGCTCGGTGTGAGCGGCAGACCAGGGTCTGCTGGAGGTAAGGGAGGATGACTAACAGTTCTTCTAGGGCTAAATTAAAACAGCTGTTTCTAGAGCCCCCTAAAAATCTCCACATAGAGTTCCTTAGGTCAAAGTTTGTTAACATTATTTTCTCTAAATTGTATTTTAACTGAAAAAAAGCGTTGCCTCGGCTGCACTTCTTTGATCTACATAACTGCAACCAGTCCCTGAATGGTTGCCATTTCAGCAACAAGTTGCCATTTCTATTCTCTGCTCCGCTCTCGCCATATGGTGCCGCTGTTTGACAAAGCCTAATTTCTATGAAGTAGCACGAGATGAGAGTGGAACAGTGAACGCTCTCACCGCGTGGGATTCGCCGCTGGCCGCTTCGCCACTGTTCCACAGACAGTTTGTTTAGGGATACTTTGTAAATTCACCACCGTCGCAGTGGAGACCTCATTCGGTCTGAGTGCACCTTTAACAATATTCCTTCAGATGTTCAGTCATGTTTCCTAAATATGTGATAGTCAATTAATATTTTCTTATGTCTTATATTACTAAGAAACAAAATGTAGTTTGATCAGTTTTATGTTTTGTTTTTTTCCTGTGATCAATGTCATCCTTGCTTCACCATTTATGTCTCTTTGGTTTCCTTGTTCCTGCTCAGATCTGCTGTGCTGAACAACAACGGGTCCAGCCTGATGTTCCATGTCCCCAGTGCAGAAATGAAAGGCATGGCCAAAGTTTGTGCTCTCCTTCTAGATGGAAGCTGCCATGGCAACCTCGCTATCACCTATCAGTCATCACCCACCTGCAGCGACATTGTACCAGCCATCACCTGGAGAAGGTACTTCACCTTTTTTCATCAAAAATATAGATTCCAGCTGCCGTAGAGAACAGTGCGCCTTAACCCTCTAATCATTCGCTTTACCAGATAACACTGCGAGACACAGCGCCAGCTGTCCTAAAACGGGGTATTAACTTTTTGCAGGACTGATCAACCCTGTAAAGCAAATATATTATATAGCACATAATTGATCAATTATTTATAAGAAAATCTATGGGAATGTAGAGCTGTGTTATGTCTATGGACAGAAACTGTTAGCATTGATTGATTGATTGACCTTATTGATCTCACAGTGCAGAAATGTACTTGTTCCATCAGCTCAAATGGCCCAAAGAGATGAAGAAGGTGCTAGAAGGAAGAAAAAGGTGCATGGGATATATACAGCATATACCATGCGTCCACATAGGACAGGTTTTTATTTTTTTTATTGATTTATTTGTTTTATTTTTTAAGAGTAGGATTATAATACAGTTCTTACACAGGTGTTTATATAGATGGACATTTATATATATAGTTATTGCTCTGGTTGTCAGATATAGAGAAACAGGTTATTGTATTAAATAGTAATTATTCTCCATTGCAGCAGTTATTACGGTTGTAGTGTCTCATTGTAGAGTCTGGTTGCAGCAGGGATGAATGACCTGCAGTAGCGCTCCTTTTTTCAAACAGGCTGTAAAAGTCTTTGACTAAAGGAGCTGCTCAGCTCCTCTCCAGTCTGCTGCAGAGGGTGGAAGGTGTTCTCCATGATGGATGGAAGCTTGGACAGCTCCCTCCTCTCAGCCACTGAGTCCAGAGTGCAGCCTAGGACAGAAACTGCCTTCCTCACCAGCTTATTCAGTCTCTTTCTGTCCCGCTCTGCGCTGCCAGGGGCCCAGCAGACAACAGCGTAGAGGAGGGCTGATGCCACCACAGAGTCAGAGAAGGTTTGAAGACCTGTTTTATTAGGTCTTTGGGTCTTAAGGACCCAGATGGATGGAACAAAATAATATGAATTTTAGAATTTAAAACTGAAAGTGAAAATAGTTTAGCTGAATTTTCAATGCAATGAAGTGCAGTTTAAAGCAAATGAGCTTCATTCAGTTTGAAATCATTTGATTGTTTTTATCCAGTTTTCCCTCCTTAAATATAGTTTCAAAGTAGCAAATTCCACTTTCAAACCAGCTTATATCATTTAGAATTTTGCGGATACCCTGTGGGTAATCCAAATTCAGCTTCTGGTGGCTTTGCTCCATCATTTTGTTGTTGAAGAACTTGATCTTTGTTAGATCTTTGTTCTCAGTTGGAATCATGTCTGAGCTGAAAATGTTGTTGACCTGATCTATCAAGCCGAAGTTTCCCAGTCCTGCCTGAAGCATTAGCAGTAGTGCATCACTGCATTTAAAGTTAAAGTGCCTGTGCTTATAGATTAGCTGGCATTGAAGTGGAGCTGAGGCATTTATGTCAGTAAATATTTTATGATCTAATGTGTTCAGAAATCTTTTCACCTTTCAAAAGCCAATTTATGTGATCCTTAAAAGCCAGAGAACTCCTCCCTCCTCTGAGTGTTCAGCCCTCATCAGTTAACCTCTGAGGCCCCCTCGGAAAAAAGCTGCGTCCTGAATAGTTGAGCAACACATTTGTTCCCTTCCAGTCAGAACATGTTGCATACCTCACCTCTGGCAGCCTGATGCTAATCTGATGCCAGTGTGAATAATATCTTAGAGAGAAAATATAGAATCTCTGACCTGCCTGGCTCTGGGATCTGTGGCTCTACAGGCGGCACAACATGATGACCCAATGGAAACCTGTGGAAAAGTAGTGGTGCAACTCATCTTTGAGGATTGCTTCATGTTGAATTGTACTTTAATTTAACCAGCAGGGGGCGAACTTGTCCCCATTTCTTGTCACATCAAAGTTTCTCCATTTCCCCTCCATCACATAGCTCAGCTGTGAAGCTTTTTATTTGAATGGGAATCAATTGTACATTTGGTTTGAGATTATCTACACTATTAATTGGCATCAAGGTAAAAAAAAAACCTCCAATTAGAAGTGCTTCCATCTGTAAAAATAAAGACTTGATAAACTTCTTAACTTATCTAGATCGTGCGCTGCTTCGTGAAAGACCCACGTCTTTCCTGCACATGATTCTTTCCTGTCCTCCTTTCATGTGATAAGTAAAATGGAGATCGTTAGGCGAACAATCTGAAACAGGATAGATGTTGACCTGCCAGCAATAAGCCCAGTAGATGAGAAAAGCTTTTTGTGATTTAATGGAGTTGAGTTTTAATATTCCTTTGAGAGGAAGCAGAACAACTTGTTTATATATTTTGTAATACATTAAAAAAACAAGAAAGCTTTTTCCCAGTTAGCAGCATCAACACTGAAACCAAGTGGCCAATAGCCCTGTCTATTAATGATAGTCTACGTTTCTATACAATAAGAATTATAAGAGTTTTGCCTTTTTATTCATTTTGTTTTTCAGTTACCATAAATGTTCCTCTTATATCTCATTAAAAAAAGGCTTAATAATATGAAAATACATAGTTTTAGTTATTCAGTCAGCTTCTAAAACAGCTCGCACAATAAATTCTTAAAATGTTTTTTTTTCTTTCCTCAGCATATAGTAAAAAATGAGCCCTTTAGTTTATGGAAACGTCCTTTTTATACGAGAGAAAACTCAGGTTTTTATTAAAGATGTTGCTTATCAAAAGTGATGGGACTAACGGTGTTGAAAGTAACGCCGTTACCTTGTTTTAGTAACGAGTAATCTAACTAATTACTTTGACTGTAACTATAACGCAGTTACCATTGCAGACACCCCGTTACTGCGCGTTACTCAGGTCGCACAATTAACCTTTTTTCATGATAGGACTCGTGCGTGCCTTGTCATGAGAGAGGGGAGGATGAGAATGGCTGATGTATAGTGAGATTCCGTCTGTCAGTTGGGTAGGTGGGTGTTTCTGCTGGCGGGTGTTAACGTACAGCACACACAGAGAGATGGAGAGTGAGGAGGACTCCAGCAGCAAAACGGCGTTTTCCAGATGGAAATACTGGTGTTACGTCGAGCTGCGTTTCCCCAACAGATACGGTTTCCCCTGCATCTCCGCACAGCGCAGGCGGAACGATTCACCGCGCAAGCGACAGGAAACGCGCATGCTCGCTAAAGGCGCGCAACAGCCACCCTGTGCTCACGCCACAGGAGAACTATGGAGAGCGTGAACGATCAAATGATAGCCTATATGGAGAAAGTGAGATGGATGGATGGATGGATACTCTGCCTTTTTAACCTTCTGTATTTTTTATTTTATACATTATTTGATGGCCTTTGTGGCAGGGATGGAGATCCATATTTTATGTCACACACAGAGTATAGATCTAGATAGATAGATAGATGTTACAGTATCTATAACAACCCAAACACACAGGATTTCAGAATTAGACATCCCCAGTTATTAATTTCATACACTCACCAGATCTGAATGCCCTGTTAAAAAACTTCACATGGCGTTCCCCCCTGATGTCATTTACGTTGAGTTGCAATAAATGCTAAACTCTCTGCAGGTTCTTGTCTTTGTCGTCCGCTCTGTTCAGCTGGCTTTGGAAACACACGGCGAGAAGGTGGGGGCTGGGTGATGAGGGTTACGGGGGCGAGAAACGCAAAACTAACGCAATAGTTACTTTTACTAGTAACTAGTTACTTTTATTGTGGAGTAACTCAGTTAGTAACTCAGTTACCTTTTGGGAGAAGTAACTAAACTATAACTAATTACTTTTTCAAAGTAACGTGCCCAACACTGCTTATCAATAAGATCAACCAAGTTTAGATAGTAAATGTTAAAATAAAACTTTAAGAGAACATTTGGTCCCACACTCTTAAAGTGTTACTTTAACAATGCAACATTTACTGCGTAGAGATTAATTTATTAATCAGTGACCGACAGTGAAAGTTGGTGATTACTGTGGCCGTGTGCAGCTGTTCTGCTACTTTACAACTGGAATGAGTTTCTGAAACCAAAAGTTCGGCTTTTAATCATAAAATGCCCAACATTCAGTTCGTGACTAAAAACCAGAGATGTCAAGTAGAAATGTTGACTATCGGTACTTTAATGAAGCCATTATTCTTTACACAACTTTTTGCTTCTATTCCTCACATTTTAGAAATAGACTTATTCGTTTTGTTTCATTTAAGCCCATTTTCATGGCCTGTTGGTATTTTAAAAAAAATTGTAAAAACCATCAAAATAATAAATTTTTTCTAGACAGTGAATTTCTTTGTGGTTGGACTCGGTGCTGCCCCAACTTGTTGTTTACCACATACCAAAATAAATAGTTTTATCAAGATGATGCAAAGTTAAATTTGACACTGTTACCATTATTTATAAACTAGGAAAAATAAATTGTAGAAAAATGTTCCTTTAATAGGGTAGAGCAGGAAAGCTTCTGTCCTTAACAGTTTTTTTCTGCTTTACTTTTATATTTTAATTAGTTTTAAAAATTGAACTTTGACACTTTTATTTGAGTAAAAAGCTGAAGTTGATCATCTTAACTTCTAGAAAAGTATTTTTAAACAGCAGGATTTCTACTGGAGGAATAAACTTTTGACAGCTCTGCCAAAAGCCCAATTATACACAGGGGCAGTGAAGCACCAGCAATAGCCGGCCTAAAGGGACAATGGAATAAAGTTATTCTGAACCTTAACGCAGTAGTGGATGAAGTACTCACCAATAGTACCCGAGAACAAGTATTGATACTAATACTCTAATCTTTCTCAAGTACAAGTTAAACTAAGTCAAGCATTTATTCAAGTTAAAGTATTGAAGTACTCACTTTTGAGAATACTTAAGTATTCAAAAGTACAAATTAAATTTTTTTACTATCTGTAGGTTTCTGTCTAATTTTCAGAGTAATTTTAAAGAACGTAAAACTTTCAGAAACCACCTGATGTATTGATGCATAGAACCACCTGCTATAGATTCTACACCACCTGGAAGGAGCTGCAGCATAAAAATACCACAAAAAATAAAGACAGATATTTTTAATATTTCTTATTTAAAAACAAACCAAAAAGAAAAAAGGAGAGTCTTGATTTATCTTGTTCTTTCACTATAGAACAGAAGTTTGAGGTTGAATCTTTTACCACAAAGAAACTATAACTCTGATTACTTGAAATTGCATTTAAAGAAATAAAATCAGCAACAGATGATTGCAAAGCTAAGCAGAGCCGAAAGGAACAAAGAACTAGCAGCTTCCTGGAAATGCAGTTAAAAGTTATAAGTAGCCCCACAAAAATATACGCAAGTAAATACATTTAAAAAAGTACCTAAGCTCAGTAATCAAGTAAATGTACTTTGTTACTTTCCACCACTTCCTAAACGAGACTAAAATGTTACAGTGTGACCTTCAACAGGCTATTCATGCTTACAAAACTTCCAATGCAAATTTAATAAAAGCTGCAGAGAAGAGCTGGAAAAAAAGATCTTCCTTATGACGTAAAACAAATCAATGATGGTTGTCATAAAGTTTGACATTAACCATGACTGCTGAGTGCGGCTTAACCTGCGTTTTGGTTTTTAGTGCATAATCTCTATTATCTACTGTGTTTATCTCCCCCTAATAAATGATGTCATGATCTGAAAAAGATCTTTTGGTTTTGCTCAGTTCATGTTTAATGTGAAGATGTTAAAAACAGAAGGTATTAGTAAGATGATAAATATTTTCCACAGCAGTGTCCAAGTATCATATTGGATATGCATAACTGTCTTATAGTGGGAAGAGGAAGGTCACTCTTATTGGTACCAGCATGCATTTGGTGGACGGTGTCACACACAGCTCCACCCAACAGGAAGTCATTCCTTCCGGGAGCAGAAGTTATCAGGTAACTGACTGGAATGGTCAGGATATATCAAATTATTCAATGTAATTCTGGGAATAGAAATAAAACTCAGTCTGTCACAATAACTGGAATATTTTTATATCTTTATCAGAATCTCACCTATGAAACACGTGCAGAAACGGATACCAGGATGTTACGTAGCCCTGTGTTTCTGAAAGTAGCCAATGAGACACTGAAATGCAATAAAGAAATAGTTTACTATCCTGACCCAGAGTTCAACGGCTTCACAGCCGTGAAGGAAGGGATGAATATCCGCATCAGTATTCAAGTAAGACTAATTCTGTCACTAATTATTCACATAAACATCTGCGTATTAGGTTATTTAAGGTGAAATGTCTTTTGTTCTTGCAGAAAAAGGCAGATAATCTGGAGATGAAACCCGAGGAGTTGGATGTTTGGGGGATTGATGGTAAAAAGCAATATCAATGCAACAAAATATTCAAAGAAAGTGGCAAAGAGACAGAAACTTTCATCTGTGAGATCGAAGGAATGCAGAACTCTGACTTTAAACAGGTTCAGGTAAATCCTAAAGCTTAATACTCCAAGTTCAACATTATAAAGTACAATAAAATGCTGTATTTTTGGTCAAAACTATCACAAAGGATTTTTGTATTACTTGGTTAGGAAGAACCTAAACACAGGGCTGAGCAGGTAGGTAATAGAAGAACCTCTCACCTGCAGGATGTAGGATTACTGTAGCCAGAGATGGCAAAAGTACTCACTTTCTGTACTTGAGTAAAAGTACAGGTACTTGTGTTAAAAATACTCTGGTAAAAGTGGAAGTACTGATTAAACTTCTTTACTCAAGTAAAAGTAACAAAGTACAGGCTTGTAGATTTACTTAAAGTATAAAAGTAAAAGTAGAAACCACTTTTTTCATGCCGTTGCCTACATTTTAAATGGATGTCTGCCAATAGGACTAGATCTCCGTTGTGTTCATTTTCAATCATCTCGTCGTCCATGCTACTATGCTAACGCCACCGCCACCAAGCTGCTATGATTTGCCGCAAATGAATACCGCCGAATCTGTCGATTCATCTTGTAGTGGTGCGTCAAATGCAACGTAGATTCCCATCCAATTAGATTGAATTTGGTATTGATGACGTGAAAAATAATAACGGTAACTCCATTGAAATGATTCAAAAATGAAGCTCTAGCGGAAGTTCAATTGAAGAAACTCTGGCTTACCTCCATCCAATCAGAAGCTGATCCGTCTCTGAAGCGAGCCAATCAGCTTCGAAATACTCCCCCACGAAGCCCAACCAGCATCCTACTTTCACTTTATAAGCACCTTCAAATCCTCGTCCCAGCCCGCTATCCAGCAATCGCAATGTCAGATTTAGACGACAATTCACCCACCTCCATCCCCTTCTCCACCATCGTAGCTGAATCGTCCTCCATGACATGACTTCTACCTCAACCTCATCAGAGAATATTAATCCCAGTGTCACCATCCCACGTCTCATTGCAATTGGTCCGGCAGAAGACCACCATGTTGAGCCCGGTTCTGCCAGAGGTTTCTTCCCAAGGGGGAGTTTTTCCTCTCCACTGTCGCTTCATGCTTGCTCATCATGGACAGTTTACGGTACCTGCATCACCAAGCAGGACCTCTATATCCCGAGTCTCTGAGTGAAGCCCCGGCGTCAGCTCCCTCAGTCTTCTAGTCCCACAATTCAGCTCAAGCTTGTCAACCAGCTCGAACTAAACCACCACCAGTTTCCAGCCGGGGGGGAACATCCCTATTCTCATTCATCTACTCATGCATGTTAAAGCATAATTCAGCATTCCGAGGTCTGAGCGCAAAAGACTATACTTTCATATCAATAAAATTCTTCTAATTATCTTTTCTCTCTGTGTGAGTTTTTCAGATTGAACTAAAGTAACGAGCCAATTTTTTTTAAATGTAAGGAGTAGAAAGTACAGATATTTGTGTAAAAATGTAAGGAGTAGAAGTAAAAAGTCGCCATAAAAATAAGTAGTAAAGTAAAGTAAAAATATCAGAAAAATCTACTTGAGTACAGTAACAAAGTATTTGTACTTTGTTACTTCCCATCTCTGACTGTAGCGATGGAGGGAAGCAGGGATGACAGAAGAGTTTTAACTGGAAGGGAAAAAATACAAACTAAAAGACTTAATTAAATGGCAAAGAAACAGAAAAATAACAGGCAAACATCCATAAAACACATTCAAATCAAGCAGATACTCTTTGATCACCTGATCATGATGATGAAAGCAACTCTCCAACCCCCATTTATCTTTGTTTAATCAGGAGTTAATTATGATTCATCCGATTTCTTAGAAAGCAGAGGTCAGTTTCCCTAAGCACACCCATACTGCCTGACCTGCATCATCAAAGATTCTCTTAAAATGAACGTGTCTTAAAACACGAAGTAGGCTATGAGTTAATAGATAAGCAAATATCACATGAATGGTAGTCAGAAGGTCAAAAACACTCGGAGCAGGAATCTCTGCTGGTTTCACTTGTATTAGTTAAGATCATGATTCATTATGACTGAAAATGAAAGTGGCTGGAGGGCTGAAAGGCCAAGGGGAAATAAAGGCCCACTCCCCTTACCGCAAAAAACATTTTTATGATCCATGTGACTTTAGAGAAAATTATTAAAATGACAGGATGTTGAGTTTCTTACAGCATTTTAGAAAAACATCAAAGCAACCAGCAAACATGGTGATGGTAATATGATGGTCTATGCCACCTTTGCTGCTTGACTGAATTTAAGCTTGTAGCAGAAAATGAATAATGTGAAATCCGCCAACCTGTCAGAGTCTTGGAAATTTACTGTTTCCATCACTTTCACTGAGCCTGGTTCTGCTGGGGGTTTCTTGGAAGCTCAGTATGAGGGATTGCTGCATAACCAATGACAGAAAACAAGTGACCATCCAGGAGCAGCGATTGCTGCAGTGACTTCGTCATCTGCAGCTTTTCCTTTGTTAGAGACTTTTAACCAATTTGATTCATTTTATTTATTTATTTATTTATTTTTATAATAAAATAAACATAACAGTCATGATTTTGCCCTCTGTAGACCTTTTGGTTCTGTTTAAGTTTCTTTTTTAATTTTCAGTTACACTTTGATTTATGCCTTTCTAGTTGTTTTCTAGTTATATTTAAGCAGTGTTTTTTGAGTTACTCTCTGTCGCCCCCTTGTGCCTGTCTCCTTTCCTCTAGCTTCTAGTTGCTTCTATCCACACCTGCTCCCTATCAGCTGTCCCCCATATATTCTCCTCATTACTTCATACCTCCATTCCTTTGTTTCTTTGGTTTATTCCACCCCCAGTGTCTCATAGTAAAAACTGTTGCAACCATTTTGCTTTTGAAGTGTTGAAATAATTTCTCTTTGATACAGATTAAATATGGAGGAAAGTCTCTAACCCTGAACCAGTCATCTCGACTTCCACTTTATGTACTACTTGTCATTCTCCTGATACCTGTCCTCATTACTGGTAAGTGTCCCATGTTTTCAGTCTCTACCAGCACCAGCAGTCTACAAACTGATCGTTTCTTTTCAGTGGTGTATTTTATCTATCGAAAACGAAGAAAGCACACTGCTGAGACAGACGCGTCGATGGGAGACCTGGAGTTCGACAATATGGAAGACTAATACTTGGAGCAGAGCCCTGCAGAAGGCTGCTGGTGTCTTCCTGAAACCCTGCTGACTGCCTCTTTGGGTCCCTGAGCAAATGGCCCCAGATTGCTCCCTGGGTGCTCCAAGCTGCCCGTTGCTCCCTAAGGAATGAATTGAATGCAGAAGACAATTTATTTATATATATATATATATATATATATATATATATATATATATATATATATATATATATATATATATATTGCAAAGTCAAGATAAAATGCTGACTTCCTTTATCTGGAAATCTTTTGTAATTGCCTTGAATCCTACTTTTCTGAAAGAAATATCAGTCAAGCTTTATTGGGTTCTTTAGATAAAACATGACCCTAACTCTTAATCATATTAGATATAGTAATATTTTAATCACTCCTTTATGTTTTCTGTTTAGCATCCATGAAGAGAATAAAGGTCCTTCTCTAAATATTAGCATATTGTTATTAAGTTCATTATTTTCTTTAATGTAATGTTAATGTAAATGTTGGGTCTTGCATCTCTCAACTTTCTCTTTATAAAATCCCACAGATTCTCTATGGGGTTCAGGTCATGAGAGTTGGCAGGCCAATTGAGCCCAGTGATACCATGGTCAGTAAACCATTTACCAGTGGTTTTGGCTCTGCGAGCAGCTGCCAGATTGTGCTGAAAAATGAAATCTTCATCTCCATAAAGCTTTTCAGCAGATGGAAGCATGAAGTGCTCCAAAATCTCCTGATAGCTGCATTGACCCTGCCCTTGATAAAACCCAGTGAACCAACACCAGCAGCTGACATGGCGTCCCAGACCATCACTGACTGTGGCTACTTGACACTGGACCTCTGGCATTTTGGCATTTCCTTCTCCCCAGTCTTCTTCCAGCTTGATTTCCAAATGACGTGTAAAACTGAGCAACAGTTTCTCTAGCCCAGGTCAGGCGCCTCTGCTGCTGTTTCTGGTTCAAAGGTGGCTTGACCTGGGGAATGTGGCACCTGTAGCCCATTTCCTGCACACGCCTGTGCACGGTGGCTCTGGATGTTTCTACTCCAGACTCAGTCCAATGCTTCTGCAGGTCGCCCAAGGTCTGGAATCAGCCCTCCTCCACAATCTACCTCAGGGTCCGGTCTCCTCTTCTAGTTTTGCAGCGTTTTCTGCCACTTTTTCCTTCCCACAGAGGTGCATTGATGCAGCAGCACTCTGGGAACAGCCTATTTGTTCAGAAATATCCTTCTGTGTCATAGCCTCTTGCTTGAGGGGGGTCAATGATGGCCTTCTGGACAGCAGTCGGTTCGGCAGTCTGACCCATGATTGGGGTTTTGAGTGATGAACCGTGCTTGGAGTTTTAAAGGCCTAAGAAATCTTTTGCAGGTGTTTAGAGTTAATTTGTTGATTTAGATTATTAGGTGCAAAGCTCATTTAGATACCTTTTTCATGATATGCTCATTTTGTGAGATAGGAATTGTGGGTTTTCATGAGCTGGATGCCAAAATCATCCGTATTAAGACAGTAAAAGACCTGTGTTAGAGCCATTTTTATGTTTTGCAGTATTTGAGTTAATTTAAGAATGTAAGAATTATTTTGTTCATATTTAGTAATATAGGAATTTATTTTGTTAAATAGTTACTGTGGTGCATTTGACGGGCTGCTGGTTTGGTGTGAAACTGTCCGGACACATGAAGAAAGGCCGAAACTGCGTGCCTTAGGAGCATCACAGTCTTTTGATCGGCACATGGGAATTTTAAAGTTTCTAAAGAAAGACATCAAACTACGTTTCTGATGCAAGACTTTTTATTTCTTTTTTTTTGTCGCGTCTGAAAGAACTTCGAGGTTCAAAGCTATTGAGTCGCCCGCACTCACAACCTGAAATATTTCAGTTAGTGTGCAATGAATCAAAAATATATGAATGTTCAAGTTTGATCATTACCAGGAAAATAATAAGCTTTATCACAATGTGATAATATTTTTAGAAGGACCTGTAGAAATGAATCCTTTATTATAGTGTTAGGGCTCAGTCATAATTTCAGTATTTTAAGAAGTATGGACATATATGTGGTTGTTTTAAGGTCAAATTATAGTTCCCAAATGTTTGCTAAGAAACAAACTCAAAATAAAGTCAACATAAAGTGAAACAACCTGTTGAATATTAGTTATTATGTCCAAATAGATTTAAATGTGGGATATGAGATGAAAGGTCATTTAAAAATGCAGCAGTTTGCCTCCAACTACCTCACCCCCCCCCCCCCCCCCCAAATCTGTTTTGTTCACTAGTAAAAATGATGACATCTTTGAACATCCTCTTAATTAGTTATTTGGAAAATAAATGATGAATAGAAGGGAGAAAAAGAAAAAGCATAATATATATCCTAACCCTTGGACATAATTTTAATGGAATAGTTTTTTGTAACATAGTAGATATTGATCATGTATAAATGAAACACTGTGTTCAGATGATGGCAATGAACTTCAATAAAAAAAAAAAATTAAACTATACATATGCAAAGTGCAATATTAATAACTAATTTTTTGAAAATATAACAATAAAAAATATTATAGTGATGATGATGATAATATTAAATAAGGACAGTTTTAATAATCATCAGATTAATGACTCAAACAAGTAAAGACTGGTGGTCTAACAGTATTTACTCTATGAGATACATAGTTATCGAATAGTAGTATACATTGAACCAAAGATATGAATAATAAAAAAATAATAAAAGTATGGGTATTAATACTACAAATAACAAAAAGAAAAAAAGAATTCAAATTCTTTGATCAGCGCTCGTTTTGAACAATCGTCGAGTCTTCCATTTAGAGTTGAAGGAAAAAAAGACCCTCTTGTATAACATGGACCTGTTAAAATCAATCAATTATCATGCCTGAAGTGGATATACTGATGACACTGTCTGCTTGTACCTAAAGTTGGCTTAGTAACGTGGCAGTATCAGCACCATGGACAGTGCACCGTCACCTATAATGGGAAATGATAGTGACTATTGTTAGCCCAAATATAACTTCACTTCTGGATGAGTTCGGGAGAGCTTTATTTTTCTTTCAACAACCAACATACAGCCAACGTCCTAACACCAGAAGAGATAGCTTATCCTGCAGAGCACCCTAGTGGGCTGGCATGATAATTGAACATAAACAAATGACTAACAAACTCACTCTCTTCTTAAAAAAAACAAATAAACAAAACTTACATAAAGAATTGAATGCATCAAATATAGAACGTATGCATCAAAACAACACATAGCAAAGCACAGCTATTTAGCAATACTGCTAAGCCAATCTTCACTTTTTAACAACAAATTTGAACAAGCTTCTTACTACATTTATGATACGGCCCAACAGCCTTCATAAAGAGCCTTAAGTAACAAAGTTGTGGATGCTCCCTTCTTTGTCAAGCAGTCGGCGAGCTGGTCTTTAGTTTTTGACCACAAAACCTGACGAACTCTCTTAGTTTGGATCTGTTCTTTAATAGAACTGATTTCCAGGCGTAGCCTTTTCTCAGCAACAAACTTGGTTGACTTTAGCGCATCTACAAGAGAGAAGTTATCAGTGACACATGTTATAGGCAAAGAATGTGAGGTGTTACCAGCACTCAGTTCAGAAAACAGTGTGGAGACAAAAATAGCATTATCAATCCCCTCTGACATAGCCAGTGTTTCACCTGCAAGCGTGCTTCTGACAATCCTCTAAATCCTTTTTGACTGCCAAGAAATGGGAGAGAATCGACCATTGTCACCCATCAAGACAATCAGATGCCCACCCTGAGTACCTCCATCTGAAAGGTTCCCAAAAGATGCATCTGTAAACGTAACTATCTTTAAGTTACTGTTTTCGCCAAGATGCTGAAAATTCAGTTCAACTGACTTGGCTTTGAGTTTACACACAACTCTGTTTGCCTCACATATGGTCTGTACTGTGGCCTGTTTGAGACTAGATGCCAAATTACTTGCATCAAACATGACATCAGGCCTGCTCTGTCTTGCAACCCACAACAGTTGGCCTATCTTTGACCTGAGCTGCTCCCTCTCCTCCTCAGTGAGAGGGGAAGCTGACTCTGCTGCTCTAGAGGGTGAGAGGTTGATAGGCTGCAGGTTTTGGATGTATGTCTGTTGATGTATCTTAACCTTGGTACCCAAAGTAACAAGGTTGACACCTACATATGAGAAGGTTTCATGAGCTTCATGACCAACATTAAACTGTGATCTAAGGTTCGGTATGACTGACTCTGAAAAAAACTGTGATCCTCCCCATATAAAATCATCAACATGACAAGCAAGGACACCCATAACATTCTTGCTCTCATCAAGCCAGTAGAAAACTGCAGGATCAACCTTAGACACAACACCTCCTGCTTCTAACAAGATGCTCTTTACTCTGTTGTACCAATACAATGAAGCATCTGCTAGACCATACACACATTTTCTCAGTTTCCAAAGCACACCTGTGCTATTAGCCTCCGGAGGTGGTTTGATGAAAATGTCTCTGCATAGTTCCATTCCTTGTAGGAAAGCAGATTTAATGTCCATGGAGTGAAGTTTCCATTGTTTCTGACATATCACTGCTACTAGGAGTCTCAGTGACTCTGAGGCACAGGTAGGCGAGTCCTTTTGTAAGTCAGAAACTTGTAGTTCCTCGAATCCCCGTGCAACAAGCCTTGCCTTTGGTACTAATCCATTTTCACTTTCTTTCATAGTGCACACCCAGCGAGTGGAAATGCACTTTTGACCTTTGTCCTCAACTTCTTCAAACACTTGGTTTTGTTTCCAACTTTTTATTTCATCCTCTTTTGCTGCATCCAGTGAAATATCTTTGCTCAGAAAAATATCGTCATGGGTATCCATTTTAGCAACATTAGACCGAACACAAAGGTTTTCCAGTTGTGATAAATCAACTGATTTACTGTTACCAGCCCCCTCTGTAGGCTCAAGTTGTTCCAAGTTAAACCAGTTCTTGTATTTCCCGGTTGCTTTACCAGCTCGTCCCAACACCTTTGCTGTTTGTGATACACCCTCTGCATTAGTGAATGTCACAATCTCACCAGGCTTTACGTTGATGCTGCCAGTCTGTTGTCTTTCTGTTTCCGTGTGCGGTCTTTCCATATCCACAGCGTCTCTGTCCATTTCTGCAGGCTGTGTCTCTGTGCTTGTATGTCCAAGGTTTTCTTCTGTCTCTTCTTCATTAATGTCCATTG